CTACTGAACGTGTAAGAACTGTCTTGTATCGTCAAGCATATTTTTTCCTGTTTCAGCTATTAATAGGCTGAGTTCTGCTTAACTCTATCACTGAAAGAAAGCTTAAAAGCTTGTTACTTAACTCTCTAGTATTTGGAGGATTTTTTTACCTCTTGAAGTTTTAGAACAGAATAGTTACAGCAATCCTTTCTCTCACAGTGATTCTGAAATTAATGCTCTATTATCTGCTTTCTCAGTCCTTATCTTCTGTAATTCTTATTATTTCTTGTGGTCAGTTTTCCTTTTTTTTTTTTTGTCCAAAACATTTTCCCCCATAATTTGCTCCTGATCATATTTTCTTACAAATAATCTGAAGCTTCAGGAGGCCCTGAAAAGAGCATGGCTGAGAGATGCATGCTGGCTGTTTTCTGAATGCTTGGAATTAAGAATACAGGCCTTCTGCTAAGACTTAGGCATTATTCTGTAAGGATGGAGATGTGGAAATGGTATCTCTACTAGGACTGACGATCATCTCCTCTAGATACCAAATCAATGCTGTTAGCAGGGCACTACTTACATGCAGTTGCAGGACTGAGAGCAATGATGAAGAATTATGCCATTTTAAAAAGGTTGCCAGCTCTTTTTTTGTGAATATTTGCAATAATAATCTGGTTCTGAAGTTAAATCAAAATGTAAACAATGCTAGAGGAGCTTTCTTTTTTTTGGTTGATTTTTCACGTGGACAAAATGTGAGAGACAGCTCAGTGCACTTCTCCACAGCACAAGCTGTTCTGAGCAGGTCAGACCCATGTGGTGCTCATCTCCTTCAGAAATGAAGAAAAAGAGGATATCCTAGTTTAAGCTAGTCTGTGGCCTTGCACTAACATACCAAAAAAGCCCCACATCCTGGGACTGATATCTCTTGACCCTTGGACATGGTGGGACTTGGTACCGTGAGGCTGAAGTTCTTTTCAGAGAGGGATTTTCTTGCTTTGAAATCCAGAAAAAGGAATTGAGAATTGGCATAGACATTGCTCTTCCCTGCTTAGAAAGCTGTGTGTGCTCATCAAACACCAACATTTAGCAAAACAGCTTGCTGGTGTATGTGATTCTCTCTCCTCAAGGGAGAATGTAAGATCATGAATGTTGAGTGTTCACTAATTAAGTTGTGTACAACCAGGAAAACATGTTCTTGTAAATGCATTTTTACTTTAGTGCTTTAAGGATGGGTCATAATCCAAAGATACTAAAAAGAAAAATATTACTTCAGAAGTAATGCTTACATGTGTTCTGCCTGAGAAAAGCTGTCCTGGGAAATCTCATGTGGGTACAGAACTGAAAACACAGCTTTGTAGGAATTTAGCATGGAAAAAATTTCTTAGTTTGGATAAATGTCCTCATATAGCTATAATGATGAGTGTGACTACAGTATTTTAGTCTGTTCTCATTTATGTAAACTCCTAATCAAACTCTTTTTTAAGTAGGTCTTTGAAGTTTCTTATGTTCTCTGCCATAAAGGAATCTGTTATAATATTAGCTCTCCTGCCCAATAATTTTATCTGTTGAAAACTCACAACCATTAAGGAGGCAAAGCTATCCAATTTTGTGTCTTGGGAAATTTAGCTTTTCTTAAATTAATTTTTCTGAGCTTAGGGGGAAAAAAAAAATCTGGTTTTGCCAGCCCTTCATCATTGTACATGAGAAACAGCTGTTGTCTTTTGGAGCTTGTTTATCAACAAAGATAAAGAAGGGGAGAAAACCCCTGAGCCAGTTCCAGCTGTCACCCTGCTGCTGCTGTTGTCAAAACTCCTCTCTTCTGGGGGGTCAGAGGGGAAATGTGAATCACACCCTTGCAACATTTGCAAATGTGTCAAAGCTGGGCAGGAAGGAGCTGCTTCCTCTTTCATGTCTTGCTAGATACTGGAGTGCAAAGGCTGGGGAACAGGGACATTGAACTTGGCCAACGAGACACCAGGCGTGTGGATACCTTGGCAAAATCGCACAGCGGAGCTGTCAGTGAGCAACCTCAGAACAAGAGGACATTTACAACTGTCTGTGCCCAATGGCTTTTGTTTTCCTGCTTTGAAAAATGCTGATCTTTGGGAAATCATGCTGAAGGATTTAAAAAAGTGTTCCTTCCCATATTTCTTTTCACAACCCAGAGGGCAGCAGGAAGCTTTTGTTTCTTACTTGTGCCCCTGGCCTGTTAGTGGGGGTTTCCTAGACCTGTGCTATTAAGTAGAGGGGAGTGCAAGTCAGCTGGGATTTTGGGTTCTATTTTGAAATTGTTTTCTAAGTATTAAAAACAGATCCACAGATAGTCTAATGTCCTATAGTGTGAACATAGCTGATGCTAGAGGAATACTCCTGTGCAGCTGTAAATATTGAGGCCAAAAGCATGCAAGCGTGCTTACAGAATTGGGATGTACGGGCCACATCTTCAGAATATTCACTTGTAATGCTGAGGAAGTACAAGTCAGGAGCTTGGAATTTGTGAATACCTGACTCTGTTCAACAGCAGGGGCCCAAGTCACTGGTGGACCATGTTTTAGGAGGAGAAGGAAGATGTGTGGACTGGGGAGGGTGATGATACTTATCTTGCATGCAGTGACATCTCCCGTTTACACAGATAGTTGCAGTAGTTTTTGGTGTAGAACGGCTGACCATTCTTCACTGTGGGTTTTAGAACCATTTTTGTAGTGCCTTCTCAAAGCCAATGCTTTGTGGCCATTTGCCTGTCTGGTGGGGGAGGGCTGTGTTTAACAGCAGGGGCCCAAGTCATTGGTGGACCATGTTTTAGGAGGAGAAGGAAGATGTGTGGACTGGGGAGAGGGTGATGATACTTATCTTGCATGCAGTGACATCTCCCCTTTACACAGATAGTTGCAGTAGTTTTTGGTGTAGAACGGCTGACCATTCTTCACTGTGGGTTTTAGAACCATTTTTGTAGTGCCTTCTCAAAGCCAATGCTTTGTGGCCATTTGCCTGTCTGGTGGGGGAGGGCTGTGGACCCATTGATCCCACCCGCAGCACATCCCAGAGCAGCTGCACACTGAGTGTTTCTACTTTGACAGGGAGGCTAAGAGGACGAAAAGTGTCAAGTTGAAAGGAGCCTGTCAATTCATCTGTTTTCTTTTTTAGTTAAAGCTTGATTTATAGATACTCAGACTCACCTATAAAGTGCCTATAGACATAGACTCATCTGTAGATGTTATGACTACTTGGCAGCTCAGTTTCCTCTAGGGTAAAACTGTTCAATCTGATCTCCTCACAGGACTTTTGCCCAGCCATGGAAGTTTTTTGGCATGTGTTGATTTATTGAAAGAAGGACACTATGTTCTTTGCCAATCTCTAATTTGAGAATAATTGTGGTTCTTGTGTTGGAGCTTGATCCGGGTATAGGCAGGTGTTGGGCAAACATCCTGGCACAGGTTTGTCAGCTAGCATTCCTGTCAGTCCAGTCCTTTATCTCTTTTTTGGCAAGGATCACAAATTGCACAATATGGGCACTGGTTTGTTTATTTATTTATTTTAACAAAAACTGATATGCTCGGGCTGGGAGCGAGGTTTGGGCTGGGCATTCAGGAAGAAACAGACCTCTGAATCTTTCCGTTGGTTGTTTATAAAGTTGTAGGCAAGCTCTCTCCATATGTGGTACATTAGCTTTGCAGCAATGGCTTGGTACACAGGGCTGGTCTCTGGAGATAGACAGGTTGTCACTCCTGGTTGCTTTCTCTCCTTGGGTTTGGGTTTTGGTTCTGTTTTTTCTTTATCAGCTGAGCCCTTCCTTGGAGGTAAAGCTGCTGTTTCTGTGGATCTTTCTCCAGGAATCTGTAATTAGGCAAGAGAAAGTGAGGCGGTGTTTCTCCCAGGCCAATAAAAGTGGGATCACCAGCCCATACCAGCTGTCTTGAAGAGAGCTTTCATCAAAGTTGCATTGCAAAGTTCCTCCCTGTATGTGGGGATGGAACAAATCCATGGGGTGTCACATGCCAGGCAGAGTCCTCTTCCTCTAGGATGTGGGTGCTCAGTGTTGCTTTCCTCCTGGTTAGAGCTGAGGGCAGTGCTCAGCTGCTCCCTGCACCATAGGTGTATGGTTTTTCTCTGGAAAATGAGGGGAATTAACTTGCAAAAAAAAAAAAAGAGACATGCTGATTAGAGATTTTACCTTAAAAATCAGTATTTTTTTAACTCCACCGAGAAGAATGAGATCATTATGCAAAAGTGGATGACTGAGTTGTTCCACCCCACATTTTCTTCCTAAATTTTCACAACATCACAGAATGGGTAAGGTTGGAAAGGACTACAGTGGCTCCCTGCTGAAGCAGAGTCATTCTGCATCATGCGGCACAGCATTGCAGCCAGACAGTTCCTGAAAAGTTCCAGTGAAGGAGACTACAGTTTCTCTGGGCAGCCTTTCTGGTGCTTGGTCACTGGTCACAGGTGGCCCAGATTTCTTTCCATTGCCCTTCTTGGTTCAGAACCCCAGGCAGCAGCAGCAGTCTAAGGTTTATGGAGATTGCCATGGCACTGAGGGGTCTATCATCAGCTACCCAAAGCAGATCTGGCTGTCCTAGGACATGAAACAGTGGAAACAGCTGGTACTTTTTGACAGCCTGGTCTCCTGAAGATGATGTGGTTGTAGAAGCTGTAGTGCATGAAGTTTTGAAAGTACATTGGCTCAAAACTGAGCTTTAGAGTCATCATTTCCTCTATTTTTGAGCTATTTCTGGTGTCCAGCAGTGGGGGAAGGAGAAACATTTCTCGAGTCCTAAAAGTAAGGACAGGGATGTAAGTCTGAAAAGTTTTATTTAAACTTGTATTTGAAAATCAAGTGGGTTTCTGTTTGACTATTTCCCTTCTGTTTTGGTTGAAGGGAAACTTACCATTTCCCGCAATATAAATAGTTCCTTGCTCTTCATGTTACTCAATTGTTTGCAATGTATATAGAAACACATATAAAGTTATCTCTATATGTATACATCTACATAGCTACATTTATGTATGTATTTTCTAACCAGGTGCAAAATGACTGCTCAAGTAACTCTGGAGGATGCCTTGTCCAATGTGGATCTCTTGGAGGAATTACCATTGCCGGATCAGCAACCGTGTATTGAGCCCCCACCATCATCTCTTCTCTACCAGGTATTTTCTCATTAGAGGAAAAGGTTTTTCCATTTCCCAGTGCTGCTAAGAAAGAGTACGTTTTGCCCAAAACGTGCAAATTGTGTTTATATTGGCAATATATAAAAAAATTCTTTTCACAGAACCATCGAATGGTTTGGGTTGGAAGGGACTTCAAAGATCATCTAGTCCAGCCCCTCTGTCGTGGGCAGGAACACCTTCCACTAGAGCAGGTTGCTCAAAGCCCCATCCAGCCTGGCCTTGAAGACTTCCAAGCATGAAGTCTTCATGCTTGGAACGTTGTTGTATACAGAAGTTGTTGTATACAACTTCTCTGAGCAACCTGTTCCTCACCACCCTCACAGTCAATAATTTCATGCTAATACCTAATCTAAACTTACTCTTAGTTTGAATCCCTTCCCATTTGTCCTGTCACTACATGCCCCTGTACACAGTTTCTCTCCAGCTCTCTTGCAGGACTCCTTTAGGTCCTGGACATTGCCATAAGGTCTTCCAGAGCCTTCTCTTTTCCAGGATGAAAAATGCCAAGTTCTCAGTTGTCCTTCTTAGGAGACATGCTCCTACAGAAGACTTAATTCCATTAATTCCATGTTTTCCTTTTCTCTGCAGCCAAACTTCAACACTAATTTTGAAGACAGAAATGCATTTGTCACTGGTATTGCAAGATACATTGAGCAAGCTACAGTCCATTCTAGCATGGTAAGTAGATGTTCAGGTACACACTTTTGTATTACATAGAACAGAAGGAGAGGAATGTGTTTTCTTGCAGTTCATTAAAATAATTATGGTCACAGAAAACAGGTTACCTACTTCCTACTTCCAGGGGGAGGTACGATGAAGAAGGGTGCGGCTTTTCTTTTTTTCTCAAACACACTTCTTAAATTTTTTTAAAATTGCCTTTCCTCTTGAGCAACTAATGTTGTTCCCTTCTTTCATGGCATTCTTGGAAAATTAGGAATAATGTGTCTTATAATTATAGAGGCCAGTTCACAAATGGTGGAATTGACAGATAAAGCACCTGGTTACATGATACTGAAAATTATGTATGTTTACATCAATCTACTTTTAAAATTATATGGTTATTCCTTTACCTATTTTGATTATTTGGACATTGTTGTACCTCTCCTTCGCCATGTAAAAAGTTGCTTTGCATGTGCTGACTCTTCCATCCTTGAACATTCCACCCTGAATTTAAAAAGAAGAATAAATCTCATCACCCTTGCCCACCCCAAGATCATTAAATAAACAGCATTCCTGTTTATACTTATGGATCACAGTGTCATTCATTTTGGGAAGAAAGAACACACAGAAACTAGTCTAAGAGATAATAATTGATGATGTATCATTCAGCATGCAATACACGTATGTTTGTACATATACATTCTCATAAGAGAAGTAGGTTCATTTGGACAAGGGCTTGGAATGACAGAAGACACATGGATATAATCCTTGTTTGTTACAATTCCTATTTACATTGAGTGTCTTCCCTGCAGAATGAAATGCTAGAAGAAGGCCAGGAGTATGCAATCATGTTATACACATGGAGAAGCTGCTCAAGAGCCATTCCCCAGGTAATGGACTCTACTGTCATGCAATTTGTGAACTTCTTGTTTTGGGGTGGAATTACACAGAGATTTGTTAGTGAGTCTGTTTCTGAATTCCTGAATTGTTAAGCTGGGCATGCCATTTAGCACTTGGGGACCAGTTGGACTTTATTTTTTTATAGGGCATTTATAGCAATACCACATAGGGTTTGTGTCAGACTTAATTTGGATCAAGAGCAATATAGGGGTAATGTGCTTTAAAAAGAAAGCTTTTGACTGTGGGATCTGCTTGAAGTCAACATTTCAGTAAAGAAAATGGACTCTTCCCACTCCCCAGTTTAATTCTTAAATTCAAAACAGGTAGCATAGCACGATTAACATTCAGGTTAAACATGTAAGTTTCTAGACACTATTACTCCGAGGCAGCCACTTTCTAAAGTTCAGAGCTACACAGTGGTTTTTGATCTGTATACAAAAAAACCCAAAACCCTGCTGTGAATAGGGCACAAGTCAGCTTCAAATGTCTGGAAGTGGCTGTACAGGAGTGGGGTGGGAAGAATATTAAGAGGCGTCAGAAAACTGAACACAATTATTATCATGAGTTGACTCCTTCCTTTTGTACAGATTTGTAATGCAATTATTTTTTATATTGAAATGCAAGGAAAGCTTATCCTGTGGTTAAATTATTTAGAGTAGAAGTCAAGTAATCTGTTTTAATTTACAGTTCTGGCCCTATTTTAGTGCATGATTTTGAGCAAGTGGCTTAATTTGGAAAGGTTGCACTACACACCCTACAGAGGTGTTTGACAACTGAATTACTCACTGTAAGGTAGAAAGAGAATCTTAGATTGTTTTGGGGTTTTTTACATACAATTAAGCTTAGAAGATTAGCATAAGATTACCAAACCTGGAAATTTTTGTCTTTAAGTTAGTCTCTTTAGGATGATAATGCATTTTTTCAGGATCTTAGTTGCTGAGGCTTTTTCAGGGAAAGTTGCAAGTATAACAACCTCTTTAATTATCCACAGGTCAAGTGCAACGAGCAGCCTAACAGAGTAGAAATTTATGAGAAAACTGTGGAAGTTCTGGAGCCAGAAGTCACAAAACTGATGAATTTTATGTATTTTCAGGTAAAAGGAATGGAAACAAAATTTGTCAGTAGGCTTGTAATTTTATATTCCTGTTTTGTATACATCATATTGTGTGCCCAGGTACTGAACCTAGTCATTATATCTTAGAAAAAATACATCATATTCCTCACAGAAGGGCAGAATTTTTAATGCCTGTCTTAAAAATTGGAGTCAATCTCCATTAAGACTTTCAACATAAAGTCAAATGTAATTGCATATAGTCCCTATGCAGCACATGGGGACAGAGACCTGTTACTTCAGGAAGAAAGGAAATAGATATATAATGTGTTTCACTTGTATAATAAAAACATATCAGCACAGAAACCATTTGCTGTGGAGTGAGGGATCCACAAATCTGGACAGCAGAGCAGCAGGTGCAACTTTGCTATGGCGATTCATAATTGAGGCAAGCTAACCCAGTTGTTGTGACCTGCCAGCCACCCGAGCTGGAGAATAGCAGTCTGTCTTGCCTTCTCCTCCCTCCTGGCAGCTTGCCATCTCTTTCAATGGACTGAGGATGTTTCCAGGCATTATTCAAAGATGGAGCAGCTAGAGCCTGTGAGGCCTGGAGCACACAGGAAGGAGGAGGTTGTTGTACTCAGTAAGACCCCCGGTTGGGGAAGACAACAGGAAATGTTACATTTCATTCAGTCTCCTTTCATTCAAGCAGATTAGAGCTTTAAAGTCAGAACAGATTCCTTTTTATGTTTGAAGTTGCTGTCTTTTTGGTATTTGTAATCTCCATCTGAAATGGCCCTGGTGTGCACTTGGGAAATAAGCCCTCAAATAAACACGTGCCAGGATGACTTAACAGAGCTGGCATGTACAGTGTGCTGTGGATTTTCATTTGTTTGTTTGAAGGGAGCATTCCTATAATTTGCCTTTTAATTCATATATACTTCCTCACCAAAGAGCATGAAATCCCTTTTTTCTGGGGGATTTTAAATTTCATAGAATCACAGAATAGTTTAAATTGGAAAGGATCTTGAAAACCGTATAATCCAACCCCCCTACAGTGAAAAAGGGGTATTTTTGAGTAGATCAGGTTGCTCAGAGTCCTGTCTAACCTGACCTTGAACACTTCCAGAGATGGGGCATCCACAGCTTTTCTGGGCAAGCTTTTCCAGTGCCTCACCACCTTCATAGTAAAAAACTTCTTTGTATCCAATCTAAATTGACCCTCTTTTAGTTTAAAAACATTACTCCTTGCCTTGCCCTATTTTTTATTTGTACTTTTAATTACTTTTATCTGCAAAGAAGAACCTTGGTTCTTGTGTTAGGCAAACTTGTTGGTAAAAATCACTGGTGACCCTTGCAGCAGGCATCAAGTACACAGTGGAGGAGCTGAAAGGCCTGTACTCATATCTTGCTAGTTTTGCATGCTTTAAATATTTGTCTGCTTCACTGGAGCTTTTCACAGGACCAGCTCTGGGTACATGATGAAACTTTTTCCCTGGAAATGTCATGACTTTTACTCCCTGTTTTTCTGTCTTTTCCCCCCATTAGAGAAATGCGATTGAACGGTTTTGTGGGGAGGTGAGGCGGTTGTGCCACGCAGAGAGGAGGAAGGACTTTGTGTCTGAAGCCTATCTGATCACACTGGGCAAATTCATCAACATGTTTGCCGTGTTGGATGAGTTGAAGAATATGAAGTGCAGTGTGAAGAACGACCACTCAGCCTACAAGCGGTGAGTGCACGGGGCAGCAGCACCCAGCCCTTGCTGCCAGGATTCAGGCCTCCCACGAGATGGCAGCAGTTTCTCTTTTTCTCACAGCTTTTCCTTCAAAAATAGTCTCTTCACGTGTGGGACAAGCTACCTTGAAACTAGGGATGGCTTGACTGTAGTTATGCAGTTGAATACATCTGTTTTCTTTGTGCTGTTCTTCCAGCAGCAGAAGGTTTTTATGCCTTTAATGCCAAGCTGTCAAATACTTCTGTCTTGGTGTATGCTAAATGCAATGCATATACTTTGTTCAGTAAAGCTTCTGTTTTTAAGTTTGAGAGGAAGCTGGCTTTCTGGTCACTTGTGCTATGCTTATTCTGATCTATGCTATTCTTGGCATGCACTTTTGATATTTGTAGCTGAGAGTTGTTATACTTGTTCTTAAGATGCTTCAGCTTTGCTGTTCAAAATCATTGTGATTGCAGGCGTAGCAGGGAAGGGAGGGGGTGAAATACCTGTGGCCAAATTTTGTACATGAGCTACCAGATGGTATCAGGTATCTTCTGTTGAGCACAGTGGTCAGAGTAGCAAGGAAAGACAGCTTTATGCCAGCTCTAGCATCTGTAGTCTTTCATGCAGAAAACTCTTCAGTCAATGACAAGCCAAATCTACCTGTGTTGTTTCTACTTACGTGAGATTTAGTTTCCGCCTCCACCTGTTGTAGTTGTTGGGCCTGGAGACCTCTTCAGCTTACTTGGTTTGCCTTTCTTTTTCTTTGGAGGTGTGTTTCTGTGAAGACTGATTTTTCCTGGGTTGTTGAGTGGCTTGGATCTATAGAGCTACGGCTGCACTCAGTTGAAGGATATAGCCAATGGTTTTTAATTTGTTTTTTCATTTCATTTTTTATTGGACCAGCTAAGTAGGGTTGTAGTGAGGAATTTGGGAGAGCAAAGCAGTTTATTTTGGATAAATTAGGTCCATATCTGTCTTCTAGTGAACTTTTCACCTTTTTTTTGAGGAGATAGATTTACTTACAAACAGTCCTGGCCAAGGGAAATACAGTTTTTCTTTTGTTTTTAAAGAGCTGCTCAGTTCCTGCGGAAAATGGCAGATCCTCAGTCCATTCAAGAATCTCAGAACCTTTCCATGTTCCTTGCCAACCACAACAAGATAACACAAGTAAGCTTGAATTGTCTTTTTGCAAGTTACCTAATGCTTTGCAAAAGTATCAAAATAAAGCTCTTCCAGTTTGGTAGTAACTTTTTTCCCAGTCAGTGTAACTAGTTAACTAATATCCTTCTTTTTTTTTTTTCTCCAGTCTTTGCAGCAGCAGTTGGAGGTGATTGTTGGCTATGAGGAGCTGCTTGCAGATATTGTGAATTTGTGTGTGGACTACTATGAAAACAAAATGTACCTAACACCCAGTGAGAAACATATGCTTTTGAAAGTAGGTTTCTTTTGGGTACAAAATTTAAAAAAAAGAATGTTGAGGCAGGGCACAGGTGTTTGAACTCTAGATTGTTTCTGGTTGTTTTTGTTTTTTTAAAAAGAACCAGATTAAGCAAATAATTCGCATTACTGCTTTTCCCCATTATTGTCTTTTTGTTGTATTACATGCTAAAATTATTTGAAAGCTTTTAATCCATTTTTGTTTTTCATAAATTGAAGTTGACCCATTTGAACTGCATCCAGTTCTGTGGAATTGTGTTTCACTGAAGTATAATGACAGTAGAAAGGAACTACTGCGTTTTACTTTAGATATGTGTCAAGATTGTTTAAAAAACTTTTGGAAGTGAGGCTGTGTATCAAATATTTCAGGGAACAAGTATCTTGGAATTAGGACTAATAAATCAGTTTAGTTAGCTGTACCAGTAATAAGAAGGTGCTGGGCAATGTGAAATGTGCCTGATTTTATCAGCTGTATGTCTTGCAGTGGAAAAAAATATACCGAGTAAGAACTAAAAAATTGCCTTATGACAAATATTTTGTTTAACTTTTGAAGAGCTCTGTTTGTTAGGAGTAACTGAAAGTCCTCTGAAACCATACATGAACTCTAGACCATTTACATTCTGTCTACAAGGGTGCCTAGTGTGATTCATGTATTTGGGCCTTTTGTTCACTAGAGATGCTTAGAACAAAGTAAGTTTCTTTGTTTGGTTCCTGTAAATACTAAATAGAATCCAGGAATATGCTGAGTTGGGAGGGACCCACAAGATCATTGAGTCCAACACCTGGCCCTTCACCATCCCCAAGGGTCACGCCTGAGAGTGTTGTCCAAATGCTTCTTGAGCTGTGACCACTTCCCTGGGGAATGTTCCTTTGCCCAAACACCCTCTGAGTGAAAAACCTTTTCCTAATAAATTCCTAACCTTATGTTAAATACTTTGGACAAAATGTAATTAGATTTTTTTTGGATGCTTCTGAGCTCTTGTGTGTATAACTCAGAGAGGCTGAAAGCCTCTGAAAGCCAGAAGAGCAATCACTCAGAGATGTTAGATCTAAACTCCTGTTACCAGATCAGTTTGCATGTACAGAATTTTAATAAATCGGAAGTGAAAAGAAAAGCTCTAAAAATAGCCAGTCTCATTTCAGTGAGGTTTTTTATGCTAAACCATTATACAAAAAAGCAGCATCCTTTAAGGGTAACTGATCAGGCTAATGTTAATGTAAAAACTGCTAATACAGTAAAAAAAGAATAGTACAGAAATGTATGTATTTAAAAATATATTCTGTTTGAAGGAGGTTGGGTGTTTCAGGACTGGTTTTAAAATGTTACTTCTTTAATTATATGAGGAGCAGACTTATAGGTTTTTACTTCTGAGATCCTTTTGTGGAAGGTTTAATTTTTTCCTTTTTCAGGTGATGGGCTTTGGATTATACTTGATGGATGGAAGTGTCAGTAACATCTATAAGTTGGATGCAAAGAAAAGGATAAATTTAGCCAAGATAGACAAGTACTTTAAGGTTGGTTAAGATGTGATTTTAAAGGTAGTTTCTCTTGTATTTTAAATATATTTAAATAGAAAAAGAAGATCTCTTTGGGTTATAATATGGGTAAATACTGGTTTCCTTTCACTATGATTTGTGTTACTAATTTATCTAATCTGATTTGTTCCCTGTGTACAGCAGTTGCAGGTTGTCCCACTGTTTGGTGACATGCAGATTGAACTTGCAAGATACATTAAGACCAGTGCCCATTATGAGGAAAATAAATCCAGGTAAGAAGGAGAATGAAACAGAGAGGAGCATCTTGGATGGGGAAGATCTGACCCTTGGAGTATATTTTCATATTCACCTGTTAGTCCATGGGTCTGTGATAATTAACAGGATTTTCACTTTGTCATCTTTGTGGTGTGGGTATTTCACTATTAATATAATTTGTGTAATGGATACAGCTAAAGAAACAGATGGTTTAAAAACCTTTCTGTGCTGCTGAGCTCATTCTTGTAGCTGTGAAATTTCTTATCACCTGGGTTGGAAGAAATTAATTTTTTCTTACACTAATTTAGTTTTTATTTTTTCCTTTAAATATGAAAACTTTCATTAAAAAGAAATGAAGGATTTTACTAAGCAAGGTGAGCAAGTAGTGCATGGGTGAATAGGCATGTGTACATTGTACATGGAGCAGCAACTTAGCTTGTTCCCCCCTACTTTTTTTTTTTTTGGCTAGGTGTGCAGCGCAGCAAAATGGTTGGAAAATGCAGCCAGCTGTTGCATTAATGGATCCATGGTTTCTGGTTATTGCTTTGTTTTAGTGGGCCTTTCTGTGCTCCTCCAAGACCTTGCCTCTATGCAGTTACATGAATTTAGAATGCTGTGCTTTGCATTTTAATTCCTGCAGAAAAAACTACATAACTTGCATGTAATTGCTAAGAGAAAATCAATGGCAATAAGCCTACTGAGAAACTAAAAATATGAGGCTACTTAACATGATGTTCTTGGTAGCATGTTTCTGTGTGCCTCTTCATAACATGTTAATAGTCTTGATAATGTCTTTTTTATAGGTGAGAGCATACTATACACTCTTCAGAGTTCAACAAGAATAAAAAATATCTGCAGGAGGCTAGATGTATCTTACAGCCTATACCTGTGCTTCTGCCCTACCTTTTAATCCTTTTTGGTCTTGTTCTAATCTTTGTTCTTGTGCCCTTAAAGAGAGATGCTGGTTTGTATTTCATAGCAGCAGCCTTTAAAAAAACAAAAAGAAATCTCCCAAAAGAGAAAAGAAAAATTGACCATTTTTTTCTTAAGACTTGGAAGAAGTGCTATTGTGCAGAGGTAGAGGTATGAAGAGAGGAAAAGCCTCTAACAACAGAGAAGGAAATGTGTAAAAAAAAAAAAGGGAATGCATTATGGATCTTTCTTTACAGTATCAATTGTGCTGTCTATTGTCAAAACTGATTTAGGTGGGGGTTTTTTTTGTCTTCTGAACCAGATGGACATGCACGTCTTCCAGCAGCAGTCCCCAGTACAATATATGTGAGCAGATGATCCAAATCAGAGAAGACCACATGCGTTTCATATCTGAACTGGCTCGTTACAGCAACAGTGAGGTGAGTGGGGTTAGAGCTACGTGTGCAAATGGCACAACACTCATTAACAGTAATTATTAAATATCTGAAAAGCAGGTAGATCTCTGGCTAAATGACAAAGCTTGGCCACCTGAGTCAATAAAAGCTGATTAGGCTGCAAGTATAATCCCCATTCTCTGAATTATATTTGACATAATAATGATACATCATACAAACTCTTAACATCCTTTGGCCTCTTTATGTATCTCAGATTTATCCTAGAAATTTTGGTATGTCTCATTTAGAATATGTAGTCCTTATTCCACACGTGCTAGTAAGAATTTAAACAAAACTAAGTTAAGATTAGTAAAAGAGTACAGAAATGCATATGTATGCATATGTATGCACACACTCGTACATATATAGTATCTAGAGACAAAAATGACTATATAATTGGTATCTTGAATTCATCTGCAGCAGTATTGTAGTCATTAGTGATTTCCATCTGTTGACCAAAATATGTGAAATTTCCTGAGTATCTAGAAGAAAAAGCTGATGTTAGATGGTAAAGCAGGTGTTGGTATATGATGCTGTTTTAGTGCTTCAGTTGATGTAGAAATTTGGCTGTGGGTGCCAAACACAGCATCTTCTGATGTGGATTTGGACATAGATTTTTAAATTTTTAAAATTTTTTAAATTTTTATAATGTCTAGGTGGTGACTGGGTCTGGTCGACAGGAAGCTCAAAAAACAGATGGGGAATATCGGAAGCTCTTTGATCTCTCTCTCCAAGGCCTGCAACTTCTCTCCCAATGGAGTGCCCATGTCATGGAAGTGGTATGTTACATGGGAAATAAAAACATGAAAAAGAGGTGGCTTGGTGAGGTTAGACAGAATAAAATTGCTTTGCTTTACTGGACTGAAAATGTATGTTGTGTTTCCAAAGGGTCTCTGAATATTCTGAACTGGAAGGGACCCAACAAGAATCTTGCTCCCTTAGTTTCCCTCTTCCTTCACTCCTTTTCTCCTTCTGCTTCAAACCTCATTCTTAGAGGAGGGCACATGAAGTCTTCAGAGTCTAGGAGTAATGTTGTTGCTTTGAAGATCCAGTAGCTTGTATCTCACACAGTACATTCAACTTGTTCTATTTAGTGGATAGGCTGTCACCTGTGAACCTTCCCCAGGTTTTACTATCACTCTTGATACTAACATTTTGTAGATTAAGACTTCATCATTTCCTTCTAAACATTTTTTAGAATCATACTGTTGGAAACATCTGTACTGACATGCAGTCACTGAGGAGGTGACAGAACACAGCTCCAGCTGGCTGTGTTTAGACATCACCACTGGGTAAATAGATGGAAGCATGTGCGGTTTTAACACACAAAAATGGATGGAAGGGCTCCCATTGGTTTAGATTGGGCTTTTAGTCAAAAGGAAAGTAAATGCAGGAAAAGGACTCCTTCAGCTGGCTTTGTTTAGACATCACCACTGAGTAAATAGATGGAAGCATGTGCTTCCACAAAAATGGATGGAAGGGCTCCCATTGGTTTAGATTGGGCTTTTAGTCAAAAGGAAAGTAAATGCAGGAAAAGGAAAATGTGTGAGGAGATGAGTTTTTTCTCTATATTGTAATAGTTTGTTTTAAAAACAGATGCCAGTTGGAAAAGTGACTGTGCTTTTTTCCAATAAGAAGCTGCTTAAGGCAGAAATTGAAGAGGAGGATGCAGGAGTCCTTGTTATGCTGCAGACACTGGATAAAAGCTGAATCAAAACATGTTCTAGGAAGGGTTGAAATGTGACTTCCTGTATGACAGAAACCAGACTTGCTCCTCTTCTGCCTCAGATGTTTTGGGGGCATGAAATAATTTGCACTATGTGACTCCGCAGTGGGCATAGCTGGTGAACCAACTTTCTCTCTTGTTTGTATTTTTAACTGCCTCTTTTAAAGGCCAGTAGATGAGTCATGCTTTTCCCTGTATTATCCTATTCCTGTTTAAATCCACAGTGTATTTAATGGTGAAAACCTTGTTCTCCTTTTCTCTTCTTAAGGGAGTTTGCTGTCATCTATTCCTTGCCTCTGCAGCTCCTAGACTCGCACCCTTTATTTCTGTCATCACTAATTGCTGCTCCAGGGTGTCTTCACAATGAAAATCTTCCTATTTTATTATATCTCTGCAGGAAGTCTCTCTTAGCTCTGTTTCTGTCCTACTTATTCCAGGACAAACTTTCTCTGGGCATCACAGCAGGTTTTTTGGCTATTCTCACTACTTTTCATTGTCTTTCTAGTTTGAATGAATTCCCATAAATACTTCTCATCTAAGTTCAAGTTTGTGTTCACCTTCTCCTGTTCTACTGAGAATTTATTCTGATAGGGAGTATCCTAATTATTTACCTGTCTCTACCTTCACTGAGTATCCATGAACATAGTTACATGCATCATGTTCAGATAAAAATTGCAGCATATGTTTGTTGTGAATCTTAACCCTGTCATTTTAAGGCCCCAAAGAACTTCTTTGTTTAATCATTTCCCCAGTGCCCTCTTTGTAGCACTCAGGTTTGTAGGGCGTGATGCTCCCCTTTGCTATAGGTGAATTGATGCTGTTAATCCATTATATTAAGCAAATTTACATTGCTCTGTAATCTAATATTTATGTTAACATGGTCTTAACCAGATCTTGCTATGTGCTGAACTCAAACTGTGAGAAAATTGTATTTAAATGTGACTAGGATTTTTCACTTGATGTACCTGATGGATATTAGGCCAGCCTGACACTGCTCAGGAACATTTTGAGCTGTGTTTGCAGTGACTGAAAAGGCAGTATTTAAGAGAATTGCATGCTGTGCAGATCATATTGTCACAGATAATACAGCTGTTTCCACACATTTCAGCCTAGCAAACTTAAAAATCAGCTTTCCACCGCCCCCCCGCCCCTCTTTTTGTGTGTGGGTCTGATGGATTTTTTTTCTTATGTTCTGAAGTTTTTCTGTGTTTGTCATATTTGAAGCAGAGAAGAAACTTTTGCACAGTAAAAAATGCCCTTAATTCTGATACCTGTTGAGTATGAGTTCCATTTCTTTGGAATAATACAGACTTGCTGGTTTTCAGGGAAAGTTTTTTAAAAAATTATTGTTTGGCATTTCCACCAGATAGTAGTTTCACAATTTACACAAGGTTTGAACATAGTACCAAATACTATTCTTCAAATATTCGTGAAAACACTGTGATATCTCTCAAAGCATGTTATTTGTGTCCAGCTGTGTTTTGTGTTTCTCAGGCATTTTTGTTTCTTTTTGTTCCCCCTACCTTTTTTTCTCCCTCTTCTGCCTTGTGAACTGCAGTACTCGTGGAAGCTGGTGCACCCAACTGACAAATATTCTAATAAAGATTGTCCTGACAATGCAGAAGAGTATGAAAGAGCAACAAGATACAATTATACTAGTGAGGAGAAGTTTGCTTTGGTTGAGGTAAGAGAAATGTTTTTCTATAGGGATTTTCCAAAGATTAATTCTATACAAAAAAGAGCATTCTCTATAGGCATTTTGCATACCCAGTGCAAAAAGACAGACTGCCCTGTGCTGACTCTGAAACCAGTCTGACTCTGTGTTCCTCCATTCAGTAAATGAGGAGCACAGCAAATCCATCCTTTGTCATTTGTAACTTGTTAATTCCTCTCTTCTCATTTCTTATATTTGAAAATACGCTATTTGTACAAATATAGACACAAAATAAAAATGTCTGTTTTTTTGGTTTTTTTTTGCAGGTGATTGCCATGATCAAAGGTCTTCAGGTGCTGATGGGACGAATGGAAAGTGTTTTCAATCATGCCATTCGTCATACAATTTATGCAGCTCTTCAGGACTTTGCCCAGGTCACACTTAGGGAGCCATTAAGACAAGCCATTAAAAAGAAGAAAAATGTCATTCAGAGGTAGCATTACTGTTTTCATATTTTTCTATATTCTTTTCTCCAGTCCTTAGTAAATTAGTTGCAGAATTACACAGATGTTAAATTTTATCAAAGTCTGTACTCCCAGTCTGTCTGGCATTCATGGTTAGCTTAGTTGGATACGAATTGAAGTTGAAGCAGTCTGAAATTAAAAATGAATGGCTGCCAGCATGGCTGCAGCAGGAGTCCAGGTTGTCCTGAGCCTCTTAGGACTACTTTAGGAAGTCTTGTGTTCCCTGTTGTTCATTTTTATTTTAAGAAAATACAAATGCAGTAATAAGGAAAGCAAAATCAGTGTTTGTATTTTGAAGAAAGCTTTCACTGTCCACTTTATTATTCCAGTGTTTCCTTTCTTAGTGTCTTATATTTATCCTACTCTCTCTTCTCTCTGCCTCTCCTAGTGTTCTGTCTTATTTCTCAGCTTCTCCTGCTTTTGGTTTATTAGCCTTACACTTCTCTTCCAGTGCTCCATCTGCCCACACTAATTGGTGACATTTCCTGACCTTCTTTTTTTTTGTCCCTAATTGTTTGCTTTTAATCTTGACTTGTTTGTCATGCGTTTACTCCCACATTTCATTGCAGAGCTCTTAGAGGTGAAAGTCCTTAGCTAATTAGGCTATTGCTAAGTGCTCTGTTTGCCACAAAAATATCATCATAAGCTAAAAATAAATAAATTGCTCCACGTTATCAGGTTTTCAGGGAGAGTGTTTTTGTCACAGGATTTTAATGAAATAGAAAAATATTCCTTTCATACCTGCTCAGATTTGGGATGAAACATTTTCTTGATCATTCAGCATGTCACAGATTATGTCTGACTGTGTTCCTGGGAAGTATCTGAGTTACAGTTCAGTATTTGGACCTAAAAGAATGAAGCTGTTTGTGTAAATTTCAGCTGAATTCTGGAATCTGAATTTCTTCTGGAAACAGGAATTTTGCTTTTTTTCATTTCAAGCCATCATTAAGGTGGTTAATAATCTGTTTTGGTTTGGTTGAATGTTAATTGGATTGATAGTGAATATATATTCATATTGGTATGAATTTGGTTTGATTGATCCAGCTCTGGGGTCCTCAACACAAGAAAGATGTGGACCTGTTAGAAAGGGTCCAGAGGGCCATGAGGATGATCAGGGGGCTGGAACACTTCTGATACGAAGACATGCTGGGAGAGCTGGGGTAGTTCAGTGTGGAGTAGTAAAGGCTCTGGGAGGCCTTACTGTAGCTTTCCACTACCTTAGAAGGGCTTATGACAAAGAGGGAGAAGGATTTTTATGCAGGCAGATAGTGACAGGACAAGGGGCAATGGTTTTACTGAAAGAGGAAGGCAGGTTTAGATTAGGTATTTGGAAGAAATCCTTTATTTGGAGGGTAATGGAGCACTGTAACGCTTTGCCCAGAGAAGTTGTGGGTGCCTCATCCCTGGAAGTGTTCAAGGCCAGGTTGAATGGAGCCCTGAGCAATCTGATGTAGTGAAAGGTGTCTCTGCCCTTGGCAGGGGGAAAGTTGGAACTAGATGTTCTTTAAGGGCTCTAGACTACCTTTTCTGATATACAGCATGGAGTTGTTATTTTGTGGATGTGTCATTCTTGAAAACATTGGTGAAATTTTTTGTTCTTGGTTGGAATTACCCTGAGCTCATGAATGCTGTCACAAAGTTTCTGTGCTCGTGGAAGAATGCTTAAAAAAAGTGAAGTGTTCTATCAGGGCACTTGGATGTGCTGCAGTCTGAAGTTGTGGGAATTGTGTTCAGTGTTTTGCAGGCCATAAGGAAGACAGTGTGTGACTGGGAAGCAGGTCACGAGCCATTCAATGACCCAGCCCTAAGGGGAGAGAAGGACCCCAAAAGTGGATTTGACATCAAAGTCCCAAGACGTGCAGTTGGACCCTCCAGCACGCAGGTATTTTCCTGTCTGGTGGTTGTGATTCCTATCAACAATTATTGCATGAGGTGTTTTCTTTCTGTCCTGAATTATTTTAAAATTGCAGGTTTTATTGCGGTCTTTTTTTAATGCCAAAAATCTACTCTGATTTATATTTGCAAAATTAGATGCGCTTAACCAAGATCCTCTGCATGGATTGCTGTAATTTTCTACTCTGATACATAATTTTTCCAAGGGTTCAATCTCTTTAATTTGATTTTCTGGGAACAAATATTTTCTCATTGAGCTCCTAATGTTTTAAAATAATATTTTTGAACTATATGAATTATTTATTGACTGACTCAAAACTGATTTCTATCTCTGGTATGGCTGGTGAAATTTTTTTTCTTAAATCACACTATTCAGTAGATGTCTAGTAATTTTAAAATATGTTTAAAATATAAATGAATGTCTGTTAAAAGAAGGGAAAGTATATGACTTCTGACAAAATCCCTCGCAGTGTTCAGCAATGAATTATAAAGCTGGTCCCTAGAATCTAATTTGTCTGCTGCTGCCACTAAAATGATGTATTTCAAATGTTTTCTGTGGTAGTCATCAAAATCCCATACATAGATGCTCATTCTTGTTACCTCCATATAGTTCTCTTTCTTATTTCATTTGTGGATGTGTTTGGAGAATGTATGGTCTGATATTCATGGCTTATCTGAGAAAATGAGGTACTGAGTACTTGGGGTGAAAAATTGAAGGCAACTGTGGTTTGTGAAGGCAATCTTTTAATACCTAAAATCTCTGGGAAAGAGAACACATATGGTTAATAATTTGGGATGATAAAATGTTGCTTAGTTTGTGATAAGATTAGTTTAATGAAGATTTTGTTTTGATAATTGCAGAAAATGGTTTTGATTTCTAATTTCCTGGGGTGAAAGAAAAGGTTAAATATCACCACCAGTTTGCTTCTCCTGTGCTTTAAGGGCTTACTTCACCTTTGCAACAGACTGTTTAGAGTACGTGGTTCTTTCTGCTTTTTCTGCTCTTAAGCTGGCACGCTTCTCTGCCTGGGCTGACAGAAAGGCAAGAGGTCAAATTTTAGATAGGTTTTCCTCAGCTTCATGTGATTCTAAAATGGCTGTGTATAAATGGGTAATTAGTGCTAAATAATTTTTAAAATATTTTGATAAACTAATGGCTCTCTGAGCATCCTCTGAAATGAAAGGGAACTTTCCCTTTGCTTGAGGGAGCTCCAGATTGCGGTGATTTTTCTGAACAACCTTTCTGTATGACCTCCTGTGCATGCTTACTGTGCTGCTTTTCATTTTTAACAAACTAACATGTTTTCTCTGCTTCTCTTTCCCGTTCCTTATTTACCCATGTGTTTTTATTAACGGATTCTCTTCCCCTGCCTGCCCCTGTCTGTTGGTTTTTAGCTCTTCATGGTTCGCACTATGACAGAGTCCTTAAACTCTGCTGAGCTGTTGAAGCAGCTCAAGTCTCTGGGATTGGAAAAGCTATTGCATGTGACACACAAGTTTCTGAGGCAGTCCTACATCTATCCGCCTCTTTTAAACTTTGGTGGTAAGACATTACTTATTACTTTTACTTTTTGTGGTGATATGAACTGTTCCACTGCAAATGGTCTGCTGCTGAGTGTCAGTGGAGGTCCCCTTGGCACGGGTAGGCATTTGTGCTGGTGTGTAGGCTAGTGTTGCATCTGTTCCTCTTGCCTCAAAGGCTTTTGTCCACACAGTGCCAGTTTTCAATTTGAAGTGGAGCAGTCATTTACTGATAGTAATTCTCAGTGTTGCTCAACTAATGTACCATGTGTATTTTCCTTTTTTCCCCTCCCCTTTCCACCGTAATTGTTTCCTTTAATGATACAGCTTTACATGGTGAGAACTATGTTAGAGTCCCTCATTGCTGACAAAAGTGGTTCCAAGAAAACCTTGAGAAGTAGCCTTGAGGGGCCCACCATATTGGACATAGAAAAATTCCATCGCGAGTCTTTCTTCTACACTCATTTGATAAATTTCAGTGGTAAGATATGTAGATGATCAGTGTCCAGCTTAGCATGTCCTAACACCTCTAACACGATCTGGAAAATGTTTCCGATTGCCTAAGTCAACTTAACCTTTGGTTTATTTATCAAAAGCCTTGGTCTGTCCAAACTTTTTCTGAGATGGTACTTAGCATTGTGGTGGGATTTTTATTTTGACTTGTTATATGTTTGTTTCTAATGCGTCAAATTTCATATTGTTACCTCCTTTTTCTATTTTATGTATGTACTTACATAAACAATAAGCCTATACACACTGAAATTTTTTAAAAGGAAATAGTTTTTGTGTTTTGGGAGATTTTTTTTGTTGTTTTTGTTTTAAGTACAGAGGAAACAAATTCTCTGTTGTGGTAAATTTGATGTCATTTCACTACTCTTACTATTCAGTTAATTGTAATCGGAAACATGCTGTCCTAAAGAATTCACCTACTGACATTGAGTGTACCTAGTCCTTGTCATCACCATGCTGTGTTGTCTTTCATTTTTGTTTTGCTGCTGGTCTCCTTTACCCTTGGAGAAGGGGGAGCCTGTTGATACCAGTCATTGTGCTAACAGGGGAACAGCACTGCAAAAGGTCTTCAGAAGGTCTTAGTGTCAAAAGCTCATTCCTGTTTTAGTTCACAAGCCTTTGGGAAAGGAATTGTACCAAGTGCTTTCTGGAGAGGTGGGAAGCACACCTCTGTGCCCTTGATGGCATCGTTAGAAACTCGTTTTTTTAATGCCTACTTCATGTGTCTGTCTGTCATTCTCTGCCCATCTAATCAACAGGAACATGTGGAGCAATTCAGTTCTCCATAGGGAGGGATGGTACTGGTAGTTCCAGTGCAGTTTTGCCTCCTTCACTTACTGCTTCCCAAATTCAGTGTATGGCTTTCTCAGCCCCCAGCTGAGAAATTAAATTAGAAATCCATTTTTACTAGTGTACATAGCTTTTATGTTTAACTGATAGTTTTGTCCACCTCCACTCTTTTTTTTTCTATGAGAAGGCACCACTTTGGGGGTCAGTGAGGAGTTCAAAACTCTTACAAAAAGTCATGGGCTTTACATTTTGAATTTGCTTTAGATTATTTGGCCTGTGTACAGCTCTAGTGACTTGCACCTGCTTTTTTTGTTTTGCATTGCATCATCAGAATCACAGTTGTATTGTACCTGATGTATTTCTATAAGAAATGTAATTTTCCCTTATTCATTCTGAAAGAAACTCTGCAGCAATGCTGTGATCTGTCCCAGCTGTGGTTCAGGGAATTCTTCTTAGAGCTAACCATGGGCAGAAGAATCCAGTTTCCCATTGAGATGTCCATGCCTTGGATTTTGACGGATCATATTTTGGAAACAAAAGAGGCATCAATGATGGAGTAAGACCTGCTTGTGCTCTTCCACTGAATGATTATTCTTAATGATTGCCATTCCTTATTAGAATGTTGCTCCTTTAATTGGTTTTAACAAGTAGTCATTGAAAAGATATTCTAAACATGAATGAAATTTTTGTTTTACATTTGCCCCTTTTCAGAGTCTCTAAGTTTTCTTTTTGAAGTGAGTATTTAAAATGCTAAACCTTTCATATCATTGCACCAGCCACATATTTTGCTCCTTGAGTTCTCCTTACTTATTCTTCGAAGATGTCAAACATAATGTACAGTGGTTAAAGCCTAGTTCCATTTTGATGGACAGCTAGAAAACCAGTTTTAGACTTCAAACATATCTACACTTTTTCTTAAACCAACAAATATTTTCTTAAAGGAAAAATTGTGATCCTTTTTATATAAACTAAAAAAGGAAAATACCCTGTTTTTGTGAACCACTTGTGGATTACAATATTGACTGGCTTACTTCATCTTACTGCACCATCCTAAAGAATCATGACTTCTATACACGTGTTTTATTCTTTTTCTTGCAGGTATGTTCTGTATTCTTTGGACCTTTATAATGACAGTGCTCATTATGCACTTACCAAATTTAAGAAGCAGTTCCTCTATGATGAAATTGAGGCAGAGGTAAAGTAACCTTACCTACTTAGCTATAGAAAAATCTGTACCTGAATGTGAAAATCATGCTAAAGGGCAAGGCCTTTTTAAGAGATTCAGAACAGCTGGAGATAACAGAAAAACTGAGAAGACTGACCAGAAGATGGGTAACTGGATGGGTGATAGGTTGTGAGGAAAGCTGTAGATATGTGCAAAAATGCTTCACATTAATGCTGAAAATTGTAGACCTCTGCAAAAATCCTTCACATTAATGGTGAAAAATGAACTACATCTCTTGTACTGGGAAATTCTGATCTATTAACTTCTTTTACTATGTTTTATAAACAGTGGGAGGTCTTAGAGCAGCTCTTTTAAAAATTTTAAGTATCTCTAAACATATGATATTTTTCTCCCCAAGGTAAACCTGTGTTTTGACCAATTTGTCTACAAGCTGGCAGACCAAATATTTGCATACTACAAGGCAATGGCTGGCAGGTAGCTATTCCTTCCACTATGAGAGCTTTTCTTCACACTTTTCTGCTTTGCTTTGCTGTTTAGTATACCTTAAGCATTTTCTTCCTTTCTTCATAGCCTGCTTCTGGATAAACGGCTGCGTTCAGAGTGCAAGAACCAGGGAGCAACCATTCAGCTGCTGCAGTCCAACCGCTACGAGACACTGTTGAAACAGAGACACGTTCAAGTGAGTTAACTCCTACATCTTGTGTCTGAGTTGCTTGGAAGCTTTCCAGTGGTGTTGATTTATGTAGGTAGACAAAACTCATTTTGTGCTTCATGTTCTGTCATCTTGGTAGCATAACTGAACACTTGAGATCTGCTTTTTTGTCACATGAAGGTGTAAAATAAGAAAGAAAACTTAAAAGATCCTATTTTAATGCAAATGTCTGTTGCAATTAAGAAAACCATGAGCCAAATAGGAATGCCATGGGTGGTAGTGTTGTCTTCCTAGTAATGTCTTTTACCAGTGTTCAGTATGTTGTTGGCACAATATCATGGAAGCATGAAATGCTGATATAAGTACTTAAATGTAGATGCAATGTGTACTTTTTTTGGGGAGAGAATTGGGATTCAAATAGTAGTACCACATTTGCTCATGAATTTATAAGTTTTGTCCATCTGCTTTGTTTCAGTGTGTTTGGGATGCAAGTTCACAAAGTGAGAGTCAGTTAATCTGGGGAGTCTCATAGTCCTTGTACAGTTTGTCTTGTAGCCTGGCTGCCAGTTCAGAGCCTGACAGCATGTTTTGCTTTAGCTCCTTGGCAGGTCCATAGACCTGAACCGGCTGATCACGCAGCGCATTTCGGCAGCCATGTACCGCTCCATGGAGCTGGCCATCGGCCGCTTCGAAAGCGAGGATTTGACTTCCATTGTGGTGAGTGTTGCGCTGCCGTTCTGCCAGATCACTGACACACCAGTTGAGGTGGAACAACCCCAAACCTACTGCACCCAAGGCGTTGGGAGCAAAGTGTAGAGAAGGCGGTGCTTGGAGCTGTGAGAAAACAAAGAAAGCAATTACCTTTTGCTTTAAATTTTTGTCAGTGCCCATTTCTGCCCATGCTTATAAATAAATTGCACATCAAAAAAAAACAGCCTTGTGCTTGGTAGAATCAAAATTCATTTATTTACTCAGGCAGCTTGGTTTTGTAGCATGACAAAAATATTTTTTTTGTGAAGGAAAGAGATCTGACTTGTGCCTATGGTAGAAGAGCATCTGTGCAATCTTGAGGTGTCCTTTTGAGTTAGTTTCCTGATTAAAATGCTAAAAGCCATATTTTATTTCAAGACAGCATGAATTTGACAAGTAAACATGCAGTCAGCAAGAAAAATATCAGGCACATTGAGTTCTGCTAGAATGAAAAATGAATTAAAAGTTCTGCAAAAGAGTTTATTGTTGTTCTTTCTGTAACAAGATTTTTACCAATGACATTTTGTCGTGCACTTAACTATCGTGTTTAATTTCATTCTTTATGGAAGAGAAATCAAATACTGAGGCCATGGAGCCTCTTGACTTCTGAATGCTTGCTTTTATAACTTTGAAATATTGAAATGCAGTTTTTCTTTGTTATGTGCAGTACACTCTTAGTGACTGAGTGAACAGAAACCATCAATGATGTGTTCCTTAGGTCACAGGTTCTTATTCTTTGAGTAAGAGAGTGACAGAACTAAGGGCTGTCCCTTTACCATGCTCCTCAGAAAGAAACTGATCCAAATAGATTAAGTAATCTGTAATTTCTGCTGTTTTTCAAGATAAATAACTTAAGGTATTTACAAGACTGAGCTATTATTTTCTCCTCAAACTGGACTTAATTCTGTAGTAATAATCATAGTGATTTTTTCCCTTGAACTAACTTGCTCACAGGTGTAAAGTTCCTTTGAAATATGGAGCACTTAAATCAGAGAGCAGTTCATGGGAAGATAGTAGTAGTAGTTTGATACACAGCTAGAGGAAGCCTTTGAATATTTCTTCAGTAGGTCACTACACAATAATCTTTAAATGCGGTACTTTGATTTTTGAAGTAAAGGTTGTGTCTTGGTGTTTTCAGTGTCTGATGGCAGATATGGAGTTATTTTATTTTAAAGAAATTGCCTGAACAGATACTAGGAATTTCTTGTCAAGAGAAGAAACATTATGAAGTGCAGTACTCATATAGAGTTGTGTAGCCTGCAGCTAGTGATTTTGTGAATACCTTCACAACATTTGTAAATGTCTGATCTGGTCTTTCATTGCATTTTTGTACATCCTTCACTGGAATAGACTGTGAGAAGGATTTATGGTAAATGTGATGTTATTCCTAACGTTAGCACTACAGTAGTTAGTTCACCAGTTACTCTACTGAGCAGAAATTACTTTGTGATTGTTTGTAAAGTAGGAAGTGCAGAAAGGTGCTTTTGGCCTATGTTTGATCCTATTCAAGTTGGAATTTCAAGTTTTGCTCAGTGGAGGAAGTGTTGGTACATATCTGTGTTTGAGACCTATCTGCATCTGAATACCCTTAAAGTCTCAGAAGGTTTAAGAAACAATCCCAAGAGAACTGATTCTGTCCAGCCCTTATTTTTAAAGTAAGAGACTGGGAGAGAGTCAATTGTTCATTTTGACTTCTTTCTAGTCTTCTCTTCCCTCAAGGTTATTTATGTACTTTGTTCAGTTTCTCCACTTTATCAAATGCATCATTCTCTTTCTTTCCCCTTGTTTTTCGTAGGAGCTGGATGGCTTGATAGAGATAAACAAAATGACTCACAAGCTTCTGAGTAGATACATGACCTTGGACAGCTTTGATGCCATGTTCAGAGAAGCCAACCACAATGTTTCAGCCCCTTACGGCAGAATCACTCTTCATGTCTTTTGGGAACTCAATTATGATTTCCTTCCAAACTACTGCTACAATGGATCAACTAACAGGTTAGCAAGGCAGCTTTTTTATTTGCAGCTTTTTGTTTATTCTCCCACCCTTCTGCTACTTCCTTCCTAGCAAGTGCTGACAAGTTCATCTCCATTCATTTGGTGTTTTCCACTTCTAAGGCTTTACTTCAAATGAAGCAGCATGAGTCATTTTACCAAGTACTGTTAAATGTATGAAAGCCTGTTATTTGTCCACAATAGAAGGCAAATGGAACCACGGCATCCAAATTCTGACATTTTGATGACGTAGTTATGATATACTGAAAAACAAGTATATCAAAACACTGCTAAGTGCATATCAGGAAGGTATTTTGAAACAGGATCTTCAAGGGTGAGATGACGGAAATAAAATTATAGTCCTGATTCTGTGCTAGTGTGAAGAAAAATATTCTTTCTGTGAATTATTTCTGATATTTATATAATTCTTATTTCTGATCCTTTCTGTTCAGTTAATACTGAACTCTTCCTTTTGGGAGAAAGGAGGAGTTCAGTATTCACTGGAAACTGCAATTGTAGCCTTTAAGGAGAGTGAGTAATGGAAATAGAAAGAGGAAGGTAGGATCTAAGGTTTGAATGAGGGGGAAGCACAGTGCTCAGAATTTTGCATTTCTGTGCTTCCTGCTCGTGTGCTGTTTTTAGGATTTGTGTTACTTTTAGCCTTTACTCAGGTTTTGGTTAAAGCCCCATGCAGTGACAGTAAAGTGATAGTGAATATTGAGCTGTAGGAAGAGGAGAAAGCCTGTTCTCATCTTTTACTGTCTCCTTGGAGAGCTTTCCTTGTCTGACATGTTCTGTGATGGTTGTGTTGTATTTTAGATCCAAGATTCTGTCTGCAAAGAAAAAAAAAAAGAGTGGGTTTTTTTTTGTGGTTAAGTTTTACCCGAGAAACTTCTGTTACAGGAATCTGTTTGCACAGGAAAATTGAATTTATTTCCGAGGGAGTTTCTGTGCAGTTAATGTATCTGGAGAACAGTATTGGAATATTCAGTGTGCTGTATTAAGAATCATGTAAAATGTTTGATGAAATGCTGCTCTTCCACCCATCAGCTTTATTGAAAGACATTCAGTAGCTCCTGTAGAGTTTAGTCTATGTTCATCCTGACTGCAAGAGCTGCCTTACTGCAGACCACAGTGCTTGAGAAATGGGTGTGAGGGGCCAAAGGACATTAGCAGGATCCTCTATCACTGTGGCTTGTCTGTTTTTAAAATCTGTACACGAGAATTGAGTTAGGCTCAGCTTGTTGGGTAATTAATTCAGGATAATTAATTTAAGAGGTGTTAAAGGGAGCCAGATCTTAGGCAGTATGTATACCATGTGTCTGATTTCATCACAGAATGCTTTGGTTTCAGTCAAAAGCAGCAGTGTGGAGAGAATTAATGTATGTGTTGCACATGCTATACAATGCCCTTTGATATTTTTGGTGAGAGAGAGAACAGGAAGTTTTTAGCCTTTTTATAGTCCTTAAGCATATTCATTGCTGCCTTGCTGCTAGCATGAACTTTAAATTGCACCCTCTCAAGTGTACAGGTTATTGAGTGCAAACACAGGAGTAGTACACTGTGAGGAGCTGTGTGAGAGCTGCTGGTTTAATGCTTGGCTCTTGTCTTGCATGAAGGTTACATGTAAACAAGGGAAGAAAAGTAGCAGTTAAAGGCTGGAAGAAAGAGAGATAATCATGATGAGAAGCAGAGAGGTTACTTCGTGGTGTGAGGGGCTGGAGGCAGAGTTCTCAGAAAATGTGTCATACCTGTGGCTTGTCTTTTAATATAACAGCTTGGTATAAGGGTTCTTCTTTTGAAGTTAGTGTTTTGGTCAGATTAACTTGTTTCCACGACCTTTTGAAGCTCTTTTCCCAAGAATAATTGAACATGATAATTTCATATATCTGTAGAAGAGTTCAACTATTTAGAAACCCTGCACGTTTAGTTCAAAAGCTAAAGCTCTTCATGCAGAAGTGCTGAAACACATTGCATGTTTCATTATTTGGGACTTAGGACATTTTTTTTTTATATCTGGTAATGTACTGAGATTAGACAGTGAGTCTGCTATTAGAAGATTTAGCAATTTAATAATTGGAGTTGCCATTTATCTGAAATTTAGTCTCATTAATGCTGGCCAGCTGCACAGACTCAGGGACAGCAGTTTATGGAGAAGGAATGGAGAGATGAGTGAGAGAATCTTTGCAGATGGGCCTTAGCAGTGAAATCCAGGGGTATTTTTTATCCACCTGTTGACCATCATGAAAGAAAGAAAACAAACCTTTGGATAGTGCACAAGCATATGAACTGCAGATGAGGTCAAAGTTGTCTCTAGTCCAGTGTCCTGATGCTGTCAGTAGCCATAAAGGGGCTGAATATGAAAACAAGGAAGGCTTGAGGTGATATTTCTCCCAGGAGACATTCCAGCCTCTAGCAATGATTAGATGTTTCTGTAAAACAAAAATGGTGGAATGTTAGTGCAGTTGTGGCCCTTTACAGGGGTATTTATTTTTCCCCATTGTTTTGTCCTGTCCCTTTTATAAAGCTGTGTGAGGCTTTCTTGTCTTTTCTGTGCTGCCTGGGATTGTTTTTCAAGAGTCCTCTCTCATGTTGGCCCTCAGTTGCAGGTCTTGTCAAGCCAAGTCTTTCCACACCAGGAATATTTGTCATGCTTCGGCCTGCATCTGAACTTTTTCCCTGTGAAGTTAGGTTATCTAGATTCAAATGACTCAAATACTCAGTCTTTGTTCCTTTTCCACTGTCTGTAGAGTCCCTTTTTCTGCTTTATTTTCTTTACTGTTTCTAAGCTGATCTTTTCCTTCCTTGACAGCTTGTTTTGTATTAAGGACTAACAGAGGAGCAAGTGTGAGACAGCCTTATATTTATTTGAATTGAAGATTTTCTGTGCTTTCTTGACACAAATGATACAAGCTTTTGGTGACAGTAGTTAAACTAGTAGCTCCATCTCCATTAACACATAACCCAAATCTGTGTTCTCTGGTATAAATTCATGTGTATAGCACCCTTCCAAATGCAGTATGACATGTTTCTTCCAAGGGTGCAGATTTGTCACAGAAGGAGCAAAAAGACCAGCTTTTTATTTTTCACTCTTCCTGACAGCCTCTCCTGCTTCCTTTTGCGAGCTTGCTCTCTCTCATATTGCTTTTGAGACTGGTTTTCATGAGAGAACAGCTGTGTCTTCTTGTGTTGCATATACTCTGACAGTCACTGTTCAGAAAAATTTTCAGCCCTTGCACATAGTGCTGGAGCAAACCTGAAAAGTAGCAGTGAAAACCATCTAGCTTCTGCTACCAAGAGCCAAATGGTACAGGGATATAGACTCATGTAGGCTCATTCATAGGGGTAACTGTACTCAACTGCCTTTCCTCTCCTAAAAAGACAAGCAACCAACCAAAGTCTTTCTGCCAAAATGAAAAGTGACAGCATTGGATTGGCAGATCTGTTACTCTCTCATGCAGTATTTTCCTTGCTGTTTCTCTGTTCTCTCCATCTTGGCATCCAGGTTTAAGAAGGGTGAGTCAGATCTAGTGTTCACTGAGAGGGGGTGGAGGGCTACCGTTAGTTCTGCTAGACAGGACAAACTAATTTGAGAATGCTGGAAGCAAAAAGTGCTCATACCAATTAGACAGGGAGGTGCAGAGGAACACTTTCTGTAGGAGCAGGGAGGGATGATTGTCATATCTTATTTCTTCTAAGATGAAGCTCAGAAAGTTTATGAATGAGGTTCGTTTGACCTGGTTGCCTGCAAGGCAGCAGGCTCATTGACCAAAGCAGTCTCTTTCAGTTATATCCTTAAATAGATTATAGTCATTAAAATCATAGAATCATTTAGATTAGTTTGTGAAGTGCTCACTATAAACTCCTTCCTGGTAGGTATCACAGAAAAATTAATATTAAATTATTTGATTGCTAAAATACTTACTTTGGGGGCTCATGTTGTCCTCTAGCCATTCACTTGCAAAGCTTTGGTAAGCCAGAAGGCTTTTCATCTGCTTAATCTACTTTGACTGCTTACATCCTGTGCTGATTAAAATGGATAAATTGCTGTGATATCATCAACACTGATTAAAAATGAAACTGATTATCTTGGAGTATGCTGAAACCTGTATCCTACCAGTATCCAGGGGAAAGTAAAAGTTTGTTTAGCTTTAGCTTTGATATTCAAAGAGCTTCAGTCCTTCAAAGAGACATTCCTCTTTCTTGGAGGAGGAGTAGGAGGAAGCCAGCCAGCAGAATGTCAGAAAGAAAGAGCACACACATACACACATGGACACTGAAAAACTTTGAAGAAGAGTAGGTGATGCTGGACTGTAAGGTTTTCATATAGCCCTTAGTTTTTAGGGAAGAAATTTCTATTACTTACCTGAATGATGTGCTGGGGTTAGTCACATACCTTCTAACATGATGCACTCTTTAGGCTGCTGTAGCCTTAATCTTAGATGCTGCCTCTCTATAACTTTGCAAGTGAATGTTATCTTTTGCCCCTATTTCCTTACTCCTTCTCTTCCTCTCTTGGCCTCTTTCACCCAAGAAAATGTAAGCACGTGTGTTTGCTTCAAGTCTTGAAGAAAACTTCAAGACTATTTTGCTACTATGAAGCAAATTAGAGATGGAGAAACCCCCAAGCATGCAGAGGAGCCCTGGAAAACACACAAGAGTTACTTGAGCATTTACTTGCACTGACTGGTTTGTTCCCAGACACTAATTACATTGCAATGGAGAAAAACACACACAATAACTTCTGATAAGTCTAAGAATCATAGTTACAGCTTCCAGAGTCATGGGATGCACCCACTTATATGTTGAAACACTCCTTTCCTTGTGAGCATTTTAATTTAGTGGTAGCAAATCTGCTCTTGCCAAATATGTCTGCACACTGAAACCCAGTCTTATCTCAAATGACACGGTATTATGATTTCATTTTAGAGATTCTCTTAGGGCTTGAAAATTGATGTCAGTTTAAAAAGTAGTGCGATTTGGAGAAAAAAAAAGGGGGAATAGAGTAATCTCTGGCACTGTCGTATGTTGCAGATTACTTAGAATTCCATCAAATGTTTGCATCATCTCTGGTAAACTCATTAATGAAGTATCTGCAGAATACAGATTCAAGTAATCTCTCTCAAAAGAGAGTTTTCAGTTTCTGTGTAAGTGAGAGAGAAGAGGATAAACTTGTAAGCTGAATAAATAAAAATGCAAGGAGATCTAAATAATATATATATATATTTGATGTATAGTATCAAAAATAATGCATATAAATAATGTATTTTTCCTTAAAAGCTCTAAATGCAAACTCTTTCTGGACTACAGCAAGTACAAGTATTTTTGGGAGGAGTGGCTAAACTATGTATGAACAAGTAGTTGTACCTATTTTTGTGAAGGTTAAAAATGCAGAAAATATTGTTCTGAAATTATAGATTCTCAAAATAAAACACAGTGGAAGTAATTGCAAGCAACATAGTGCAGTTTATACTAGTCTAGGTGATACAATTTTTGATAAGCATGGCTGTTTGTTTTTTTTAACTAGAAGATGGATATATTAAAAATAGAATGTCTCTGCCCTTTCTAGGAAGAATTAATAATGAAGAATTAATTTTTGTGTGCTGATGAAATGTAAATACTTTAAACAAAAAAGATATAATTGTATCTTATGATGTTATAGTGTAAGGCAAGTTTTCTTTCCTGAAACACTTTCCTAGATATATTTGTTTTCTCAGGTATCACTCAGACCAGCCTGATATTATACAACCATTTGATGTACACTTCTTAAATAGCTATTTTCCCTCTTTGCTGTGCATATACAGCTTTGCACCATTTATCAAGAAATACTTTTTAATTAAGCTAAAAAATAAAGTAGCCATCCAGCTTGTAAACACACATCCCCCAATAATTTTCCTCTGTTTAGTGAAGTTAAGGAGAATCAGAATTGTAGTGGATATGAACTTCTTCCTGCACAAAAACTGCAGTGCTGCCAAATGTGCGTTACACAGTCAACAGGGAATGTCAGGGGGGGAAGATTTGTGCTGCTTGTTCACCAGAGGACTGGGAATGGTCCTTCAGGCTCTGGTGCCCTCAGTTGTGAGTGGGATGGCTGATCCTGTCTTTGGCAGTGCTCCATATCTTTGTAGTTCTCTCACCATCCTCTTAACAGTATACAAAGGTAAAGCTAAGCATGATTTGTATTGGTACATGCTCACACTGAACTATGATCAAACTTTTGAAACATTGATTTTGCTGCGTTATACCCTTCCTCATGACTTTTTTTAAAGGTAACAGCTAACATATTTCTCCTGATGTGAATTTTGGGGGAAAAAGCTCTGAGACATTAAACAGAAATGCCATGTTCCTCTTTGAAGGCATACTTCTTTCTCAAGGACTTCATTTTGCCAGCACGTTATGCCCTGTGAGAGGCTATTGCCACTTGGTTAGTTACTTCCCTGTTTGCTGGCCTGGGTTAGTGGTGAGGAATATTTGGGGATCCTGCACACCATGGGAAGAACAGTAATTGTTGAACTGCAGTGTGATTTGTGTCCATGTTTTGGGCAACTCAGGCTGTGTGCTTCCCCAGTTTCTACTAGGACTGAAAGGCTGCTGGTCTGTCTTTGACTGTATGTGCTGGCAAAAGCAGTCTTCTACAGGGTAGGGTGCACTAGGTGCACACCTGCTCACCTATGTAAAAATAATGAATTCTTGTTTTTATTTTTTTATATAGGTTTGTTCGGACTGTGCTGCCATTTTCTCAGGAGTTTCAGCGTGATAAGCAGCCTAATGCACAGCCACAGTATCTCTATGGATCAAAGGTTGGATTTCATCTTCATTCCCTTTATGGTTTGCTAATGTTTAAAAGTATCTTTTTAAATTATAGAAACAATGGTATGTGAAAGTCATTAGAAATAGACTGAAATACGTTTTGTGTGTATTTTAAATTGAACATACACTTTTTTAAAGATTTTGCTTGAAGCTCGCCATATGTTTCAGCCATAGTGCAATTGGTTAGTCTGATGTGTAGTCTTATCTGACAAAGCTAAAAATAAGCCCTTCTCTCAACCACCTTGCATTATTCAGTTGCTAACAGTGGCAGAGCAGACTCAAAATAAAGATTAATTACTCATTAATTACTCGTCTGGTGAAGTGAGAACAAGAGCCCATCTTGATGCAGCCCTCCCTTATTCCAGTGATGAAGACTGTGATGACAGGAGAAAAGGGAGTAGATAGAAAAACTGCTTCAGATGTTATCTGACTTAAGAGGAATATAGATTCTGACCATCTTAAACTATCAGATACCTAACTATTTCAATTATTTTTTTTAATGTAATGTTTCTTTGGACTCTACAACCCCAGAGCTGCAAACTCACTGTGATGAACTTGGTGTCTTGGCCATCTCATCTTTCTATTACCATCATATTTCCTGATTTGCAGTTAGGTGGGCTGGGAAGGTTTGTGCAAGTTTTCAGTAGAAGGGTGCGTGATGTGCTCACATGCTCTGTCCCCGTGGCAATCCCCAATACTGAGGTTGCTAAGGAGCTTGTGTGGGTGATAATTTGGAAGAGTACTTGGCACAAGAGAGCAGCTGTAGGCTACCCAAGTAGCCTGTAGTTACAGGACCAATGCTATGCTCATGTGTGATAGATTTGTTCTCCCTGACTACTGCAGATTTATTTTCTTATTCTTCAGAATTACTACTTGTGTCATAATGACAGTTAAAGATATAGTACATTAACATACATTTGCATAGAAGAGTACTTGGCACAAGAGAACAGCTGTAGGCTACCCAAGTAGCCTACAGGACCAATGCAATGCTCATGTGTGATAGATTTGTCCTCCCTGACCACTGCAGATTTATTTTCTTATTCTTCTGAATTATTACTTGTGTCATAATGACAGTTAAAGATATAGTACATTAACATACATTTGCATTTTTAATATCTAGTCAGAAATATTGATCTACTTCAAACAGCAGTAAAAACCAGCATACTATCTTCAGCAAAACATTTGGAACTATATGACAAGGTGTCACTCTGAATTTTGTAATGTTTTCTTGTCTATCAGGGTGGCAAGCTGAAGTATGGAAAAGATAAATGCAAATATAAGGGTTAAATTAGAGGATGGACAATAAAAAAGCTTAAAATTATTTATTATTATTTAAAATTATTTAAAAGATATATTTAATTATACATCTAATTTATGCAGATGTGCTGTAAGTGTTGTGGGTGGCTACTCTCAATATCTACCTCCTACTTAAGCATGAACATAATTAGTCCTTGTTTTATTCGTATTTTCTGCACATCATATCATAGTTGTATGGTGCAATTTCAACCCAGTAATCTAGGTTTTGAGATATCTCAGGAGTTACAAATTTCAGTGCTAAAATATCTGCTGCATTTGTAAAAGTTTCATGCCTTTAAAATGTAAAGGAGGTAGAAAAGGATTCACATGTCCTAATGTGGAATGTAGCAACTGACTGTCTGCTTCTGTAAATAGTGTTTTATGTAATTGTTCTCCAAAAATGAGCAGTAAATTATAGGAAAGTGGAATTTCCTTACATTAGAGTTATTGTGTTCCTTGCTATTTTAGTAACTGACCAGATGCAGCATAGAGCAAAAACCTGAATTTCATAGAGATTGCTAACTTAATTTATCTAAGTGATGATACAGTGGGGTGAGTGACAGAAGATTAAATGGGGAATACTTTTTTATCAGTCAGGTTACATTATTAAAATAAGTCTAGTAGTCTTCACACTGAGAGCTATACATTTTCAGAATTCTTGATTATTTTTCTATATGAGCAGCAGCAATCAAGGGGAGGGGGTCTTACTTGCATTTTTGGGGCAAATTTCATAACTAGATGGGCCTATATTAGAAGAAAACTTATGACTCTATCTAGTTTTAAATTTTAACAAGAGTATATTTTTATTCTTGAATTGAATGTATTTTGAAATTGAGGATATCTGAATGGAGTTTTTAATATTTCTACTTTATATAGCCAGTAACAGATAGGAATTCTTACATTATAGAGGCTGCACTACTACAGGAGTAACTAAAGAAATTTTTTATTTGTATCTCAAAGCATTCACATATTCCCAGATATTTCTAAATGGATCAAAGCATCTGGTCTATATTAATGTGTCTTGATACTTAGCATAGAGAGTTGTAGTAACATTCTCTTTAGCACCTAAAGTTTTCTGAGTGGTATCTTCATGTAATTAGCAAAACAAAAACCCACAGATACAACTTCCTTCTTCTGGTTGATATGGAAGCAGAGCTGTCAGGTGGGAAGGAGCCAGCCTACAACAGCTCGTTAGCCTTTTGAGTGAGCTCGGTTATTTTAAAAGTTTGGTTGAACATGGTCACTGAAATCCCTTTACTCAGGCAGAGTATGTGTGGTATTAATGATATTAATGTTAGCAGGTTGGAATTCAGCAACACTGGGTGAATGCATGAAATATTTTATAATATACATATAAGAAAGTATCTTTTCTGGGAACTTGAACTAACTTTCTGTTAAATACTTGGTTTTATAGAGGTTGTGTAGACTAGAATTGAAGGGCTTTCTTTCTGTCTTGTACAACATTTTCCAAATATTGTCATGTTTTTATGTCTCCAGCACTTTGTAGATGCTCACTCCTTTATTTTGTGAAAAATACATCTTTGAAGGGTATTTCTCATTGTGAATATAATGATTTTTATCTACTGCTGGTGCACGAAGTAAAGGCAGTCTGCACTATGTTGCAACCTGTTATCAGTTTGGTAATCACTTAGAATGTTTGCCCCATACTCAATGACTGCTGAGTGGAGAATTACCAAATCGAATACAGAATTGCCTGAATGAACCTGAATTAATCTGTAATAAAACTTTCTCAGCAAGAAACAAAGAATCATGTAGCTCTGTGAGCGTGTGATGACATGAGCTTTTCAAAACTAGAGCAGAAAACAGATGACGCTCTGCATGAATTGCTCATTTGCAGCAGGTGCGAGATGGTCCATTGCTTGTGAGATGATATAAATGTTTATATTAGTAGTGCACAGTAAACTGTGGGTGGAATGGTTTTATATTTAGAGTAGGTGAATCCCTTGGGAAGCACTACCATGGTAGCTCTTTGCCTTCTCACTTGGATATAGGCATGTCTTCTGGTTATATGTGTTTATGTATAAATAACAAAATGCAGTAGGTGAATTGCCTCAAAACTGCTTTGAGCAGAACTGCTCCTTGTTCTCAATGTGGCGTGTACATGTGTATATAACATAAGCATGTGTCTGTGTATGTATTGGACTGCCTTAAAACCCACATAAAGAAATGGACATGCAGAGAGGTAAACAGGTTTTCAAGAGCCCAAGATGTTGGTAGAGATTGACAGTGTGTCTCTTGGCCTCATCCCATTAATATTGAAATAATATTTTCTTGATGAAAACCTAATCAGAGAAGTGTTACTGTTAATTTGATTACAAGATATTTTTAAAGCATTTTCTCTGTCCTCACCACCCAGGCACCTCTTATGGCACTTAACCTGTTGTGTTGGCTTCATGCTCTGATAAGGGTTTTTCAGTGCCTATTTCGTGTAACACCGTCATTTGAAACAGTAGTCAGTGAACTGTTATTCTCACAGTTTGAGACTGACGTGCAAGACAAAGGAAAATGTGTCAGCTGGAGGAAGTGCTCTGCAGCAGGTGGAGAACTCGTTATTGCTAACTTCACACAATAAAAATGCCTTTTGAAGTGTTTTCTGAAAGTCGTACTCGCCCCCGTTCAGCAAGTGCTCTGTGTGTCATGCTTATCCTACTCAAAAAAAAAAAAAGAGTAAAGAAGATTCATCATACTTATGCCAGCTTCTCCTTAGCACTCATAGTCAATGCAATTCACAAGTCGTGGGAATTGTTGTCAAAATAGAGTGGCTGAAAAGATCCACTACCTGCTGTGAAATATTCATGGGGAGCTCTCTTGCCAAAATTGTACCCCCCCTTACCTTCCAGGGTGGAGGGGGGTGGCAGCTGCCCAGCCAGCAGCTCTCCAGCCATCCCTGGTACAACCCAGTGTCAGAGAGAGCTGACTTCACACATACATTCATACCAAGAGCAATTGAGTGCCTGCAGTCACAGTGCACCTTTTTTTTTTTAGTCATAATATACAGCAATACTAAGATTTATTATGGAACACAAATGCGCTTAAGAGGTTTAAAACAGGGTGACATACACAGGTAAATCAGACAACACTTTTCACGTTGTGAGGGTGAACAGATTTCTGTCCAAAGGACCTTGGCACTTTGCCATGAAGCTCAAGGCAGAGTGAGGTGATCAGCAGGTTTTCTTGTTACAAAAAAAAAATGCATTTTGACATGTTTTTACTATTTTGCCCCCCTTCATTACACAAAATGTACTGTGCAATTGAAAGGAAATTTGCAGCTGATTAATGCGTGTTATTATTAAAGCTGAAAGGGAAAGAAAAAAGGTAGGGCCATGAGCTGCATCTCTGAATTCCATTTCCTCTGCAGGGAGTCTCTGGCCCATGGAGCAGAAGGTAGCCTGTGGTGGGAGCAGAAGAGTGCAAAATGCAATAACCCAGGATATTTCCTTAATTAGATGTGTCCTTACTAAGTCTCTATCTTGCATGTATTTAGACTGAGGGAAAATAAGACAGATGACAGGAAACAATTAAAATCCTGATGAGTTTATCTTACATTCTGAGACTGACCTCAGTGCAGATGGGAGGGATAGACAACACCATGGACAGTGAGGTGTGTTGTCTGAGTATAGTACTGCTTGTAGTGTGTGTTTTGGGAAGCAGCTGGGATTGCCAGGGTGTAACTCTGGCAAACCACTGCACTCTGTGTGTATGTTCCAGTTGCCTATACTGTAGCAGTCTGGCTGGCCGTCTGAAAACTCCTACTCAGTTTTATTCATGCTAGTTAACAAAAAGTATTTTGGTCACTTTTTATATTTGTTTGCTGTTTTAGGCTGAAGAAAAGCAACAAAAAGATCCCCTTGAAATGTAAGCCAGTTACTTGCTACATGCTTAATTTTTAAATAATGGAGGGTGGGTGAAGTGCTCACTTCTTGGGCATGTGAACCTTTGCATACAGACTGATGTGTTTGAAGTAGTTGGGGTACCTTAGGTGGCAAAAACTTTCTCCTGGACAAAACATTTCTAATGTATAGCAGAGCACTGTCCTGTTACTGGGACTCGCTCCTGACTTTTAGAAGATGGCATGATGGGCTCATTGCACACTGAGGGATTCTCTATGATTGTGGCCAGCTGGATGCTGTGTGGATGCTTTTCCTCAGCGTCCTGTGCGTGCTGGCTCTGCCTGCTGAACTCATCAGAGGCGCGTGCCACGCTTTTGGTCCGTGGCTCCTCAGGCTCTTGTTTGGAGGTCCTGTTGCGCTCTTGCAAGCGCTCGTGTCTCCTGCGGCACAGCAGGTGCAGGCAGCCGTAGAGCAGGACTGCGGCGATGATGAGCAGCAGCACGCTGCTGGTGAGCCAGATGCCCAGTGCCAGCTCTTTCTTGGTGCTGCTCGCCGACGCCGGGTCTCGTTCCAGTGTGTTGAACACTCTGCACTGGTCGCTGGAGGGGTTTGCGGACTGGCAGGTCACGCACATGATGTATGTTGTGAGGGGGGTCAGGTTTTCAACAACAAAGGAGGAGCGAGTGGTGGGCACCCTCTCTTCCCTCTGGAAGCTCTTTCTGGAGTAGCTGGACAGCATGCTGTTCCAGTTAGGGTGGTACATGATGCTGTAAAAGCTGTCGACACAACTGGCCATTTTCGGCCAAATTACCATTGCTGTGTTTCCTGTGATGTTTTGGATGGTTATTCCCATCAGGATGTTATTTGGGAGGTTTTTTTTCTCTCTTGATGCTGATCTCCCTGTGGAAAGGGAAGATGTTCTTTGCAGAAGCTGCAGCACTGAGGATGTCGTTTGAATCTTAATTGTAGTGCTCTGTAATGTAGGAATGGAGTTTGTTAGGAAAGTATGCTCTCATCTTTGGCACTGCAGTGTAAAAATGGGAATGAAAGTTCATAAAGTCTGGGGTGTTTTAAAATGTGTATTTCTCTTCCAAGTGAAAGTATAAAGATAAACTTAGAGAAATTTAATCAGAACTGCTGCCTGTACAAGTGACCTGTTGTGTCTTGAGAGATGGTGAATTTTTGCAGAATTTGCAATTGGGGAATCACTTCCTTTCACATTTTTTTTTCCCCCAGGTGATTGTAAAAAAAATGCAGCAGATGTTTATTTCTCTAGTCTGTGTATCTTGCATTTTATGTTAAGTGGCAAGAGGGGTTGGCAGGAGTGGATATTGAGGAACAAATGTCTCTACCATCCACAAGTCTTTATTTTTGCTGGTCACAATTAGTTGAAGAACAAAAGAGTATGTGGAAACCTGACCACATATTCTTTTGTCTCCAATATCTTAGGTTAGTTTCTTATTCATGAGTTCACATAGGAACACCTTCCCTATGAAGACAGGCTGAGAGAATTGGGGCTGTTCAGCCTGGAGAAGAGAAGGCTCCAGGGTGATCTTACAGCACCTTCTGGTATCTAGATACAGCAATACAGCTGGAGAGGGGCTTTTTATAGAGGCAGATATTGATAGGATGAGGAGGAGTGATTTTAAGCTTAAAGAGGGTATATTTAAATCAGATATTATGAAGAAATTCTTTGCTGTGAGGGCAGTGAGGCACTGGAATGGGTTGCCCAGAGGAGCTGTGGAAGGTGTCCCTGCGTGTGGCAGGGGTGTTGGAACTAGGTGATCTTTAAGGTCCCTTCCAAGCCAGACTGTTCAGTGACTCTGTGAGACTCTCTGTGTTTTGTTGTTAAGTTGCACATCTGTAGCCTCTGCAGCCACACTGCGGCAGTGGCTGTGAGCACTGTACATTGGTGGTATCAGTATCACAAACTTGAGGCTTGATGCTAGTCAGCCTCTTGGAAAAGCTTTGTCAAGCTTAGTGAAATACACTGTAGCCTACCTTTTGGATAAATAGTGGGGATTTTTTAAAATTACTAATGCTCTTTGCTGTTTTAAGTCATTTTATGTAATCCCATAGTCTGTCTGCCCTGAATTTATACTCCTCCTCGTCCTCAATTCAAATTAGAAAATCTGCCAGTATTTTGAGGTTCTCAGTATGTGTAGACACTGTAAATAGTGAAAGGAAAGCATCTCTTTTCTGCAATTTCTCTAAACACATCTGTTAAAGAATATATAATAACAACCATACAATTTTCATTTGTTTGGCTTTGGTTTTATGCTTTTACTGATGTGATGGTAACTTTTGAAAAAGAGCTTACCTCAGCAATTTAATCTGATCCCTTAGTTTGATTGTCAGTTTCCAGTGGCACTTGTGGAAGTTCTTTTTCCACTTTGAAAGTTTCTCACTTTTTTTATGACTATAAATGTTCATGACAGTAACACTGTATTTCATTGTTTATGACTTTGATGTGAAAATTAAATCCAATATATTTTTTAGTATCAAGTTTAAAATGTTATATTTCCTGGCTAAATAACAATTAATTATTAAAAATTCTCCTAAGGAAGAAAGCTTGTGAGATTTGCTCATATCATATTCTAAAATTATTCTGTAATACTTGTATTTTATACTAGATAGGAGACTGGGAAAATATATATTTTATGGGATTTAGGTAGTGACATTACATTAACAGTAAGAATTCTGTGCCTGTTTATGTATGAAAATTGTTGCTCAAGGCTTTTAGATTATACTTACTGGGAAGTGGGAAGAAAAATAGGTATGTTTATTTTCATGACAATGTAAAACCATGGATATGACTGATCTGAGTAGATACTACTTTTTAAATTCTGTAGTAAAGGCACCCTTTTTAATACAGCAACAATATAAAGAAAATGAGTTTGCTATCAGATAAACTTACCAAACAGACACATTTTGGCATCTACCCAGCTACTGCAGATATTTAAATAGAGTGCATTAGTGAGATCAGAGTTTTTACTTGCTCGGTTACCTTCTCTTTAACTGGTAGATCCCTGTTACTTAAAATTGTAATCTATTTTTTTATAGAACACTTTTTAACACAGCCTAGGAACAAGAGTTTCAACAGTTTAATCCTCATAGCATTTTGTAAGTAGAATGAACTGTAATTAAATAACAACAATACATTTCTATTGCTACAAACCATCAGTTATTAGAAAACACACAATTACTGACATGTAAATGTTTGGAGAAGCCATCTGATGTTTTATGGATCATAAAGTCAGTACTTACCGTTGCTCCTTGATGGAAATTCCAGAACAGAATTTCTTTATGGTAGTACTGCTGTGAAAATGTTACAAACACCACATTTTTTGTATCCCTTTCTACACGAATTATTTCCTGACTGATCTCTGTTTGCCAGTTTGCTTTTTCTTCTCCTCAGCTTCTCTGGACTGAATTCTCATTGCTTGGTGATTTCAGTTTTTTTCTCTGATGCTGCTGGTAGCATGGTTTCTTTGTCTCTTCCACTTAAATTCCTGCAAGAGCACATCTTGTCTAAAGATGCTGTTGCTTTGCTTTTCAAAGACCACACAGGAGAAGAAAATAATGTCTTTTCCCCCCTCTCTTGCTTGCCTCCCCTTGGCAGTATGCTGCCTGAGCATCCCTGTTATATACTCTTGTGTGTGGACCAGTGATGCTGTGAGTGATTAATGTTAGCACTTTGATGACATCAGCAACTAACAACTCTTTTTTTTTTTTTTTTTAATTTAAGTAGGGGAGGGAGCAAGTATAGTTTAAAAAATAATGAGCAGCAACTTCCCTTCCCTCCCTTCCCTCCCTTTCCACCTCCACCCCCCTCTAGTTAGTGGCTTCTTCCCTAAGGGTTTTATGCTTTTGTGTCTCACTGGGGGGGAAGTGGTATTGGTATGTAATGGTTTTTTCTAAATTCCTTGTTACAGTTTAGAAAGATCCACTAATCCAACATTTACAGGTGGATTGTAAATTTTAGGTACTTCCCCATGAGGTTTACATGGGAGATATATTTTTAGATTGGTTGGCTTCTTACTATTATGTATCAGCATATATTTTAAATACCATGATTCTAGGGCTTGCTTTTCTATGACAAATTCCTGCTGTGTAAAGAGAGGTTCACTTCCCTTAACCTCATGGCAGTAAAATGCTTTAATAAAAATTTAGTAAAATGCTAAAAGAAAATTCTCCTAGTGCTGTAGCTGAAATACATAGTTTTGACATGTCTGTTGTAGGAGTCCTACATAATTGGAAACATCAAAACCAAAAAATGAAATCTCATATTTTAGTGGCAATTGTATAAATCCTTAGTTTATCAGGACATTCAGCTGCACATATCTTCTTAAGGTTTTACCAGTTCTCTGTGCTGTCTTTGGCCCAGACCTCATTTTGTATGCAGAGAGCTATGGAAATGCACAGGTTGTACTGGAGGCATACAGCTTTAGGCTGTCCCTGGTGGGACACACTTGGAGTTTGGCCTTTTAGCCCACTCTGACGTAACAGCAGGGCTGTGTTATGTACTAGGGTTCTAATAGTTATACAAGTGTCTATTTTAGTTTGCATTTAGAATTTTTAAGTTTCTAAGACCTCAGTTGGAAGCTGATGTTTATATAGAGACATACAACATAAATAAAAATGTGCATATTGTATTCTGATTGCGTCCAAAGATGATTTTAAAGTCCTTTTATGAGAATAAAATCCTTCAAGAGCTTGGTAGCATTTTCTAAATTGAATTCCAACTAGCTTAATGCCATGTGTTTACAATATCTGGTGTTGACTTGTATGGGTAGTTAGGGCAGGATCTGGGAATGCTTCTTCCTGGAAAATCTTCTGTTACAGCTCTGTGTGAAGTTGAAAGTTTAACAGTATGCTGTTTTCCATTAGAATGAAACTTCATAAACTGAAGGAAACACAACAGTCCCTTCTGTAAGAAAGGTGGCCAAGATTCCTGCTAAAATTAAATTTCAGGGTATTAGGAGAACAACCCACTTGCAGAAATTGAGGATGCTAAGTTAGCCAACCCTCTCCAATCTGCAGCTTCAGCAACCAGTTCCTAAATCCTCACATCACATCAGTCTGTACAGCTGTGTTCACTTTCATGGAAGTAAACATGACTATAGCAAAGCACCTGGTCCTATTTATACAAGTCTTGAAGAATTTCTATGAGGTTGGATCCCAAACTTAGATTTGCTTTGATCTTGTGTACAGCAAGGGGGTTTGAGAAAGAAAGATCCTTACTAATTAGTTGCAGAGAGCAGTAGCTGCAGAAGGCTTTTTTTTTTTTTTTGTAGTGGAGTACTCAGAGACTTAAAACACCTGTTATGAACAGAAAATTAATTTCTTTCAAGATGCTTTGTGCATAAAATGGAAGATAGAGCAATAGAAGCTGTGCTTTCAATTCAGGGATCTGGACATGGCATTGGCTACTTTTACCCTTTTATGCTTGGGTAAATAGAAAAGTACAAAAGAGAAAGTATTTGAGGCTTTATAAATGATAAACAGAAGATGTCTGCTTGAAAAAAAAGCTCACTAATTTTTCTTGCTGATAGATTTTTGTTGAAGTTCCTGCCTTAAGAGAAACTGCCAAAAGAGAAACTGTGTTTTTAAAACTCTTTCAGAGACAGTGAGATACAAAGTTTTTATTTCAGTTTTAATGTGCTTTAAAATGACTTTTAAATTACATTATTATTGAGATAAAGGCAGACAAAATTTTCATTAATCATATCTGTTTTCTTGTTTTAGGCATTGAATTTGGCATATTCCAGCATTTACAGCAACTACAGGAATTTTGTTGGTCCACCCCACTTTAAAGTCATCTGTAGACTTCTTGGATATCAGGGCATTGCTGTGGTGATGGAAGAATTGCTGAAAGTTGTCAAGAGCCTGGTATGCTAATTGTCTTTATTTTTCTGCTAGTCCAAATGGTTTCTTAGAGCAAGTATCTCAGGAAAAACAAAGAAATTGAGATCCTGGATAAAAATGATTAAAATAACTTCCACTGAAATTTGATAAAAGCTGGGCTTGACAGTACTCAATGTCTTGTATAAGCAATAGAAAGAAGTGCCTTGGTGCTCTCAGCAGTGTTTTGAAATCTTTGGATTCTTCTTTGGAAATTCATGCAATTTGTGGTGACCTGAGCTGTTGAAATAAACTTATTTAAAATACTCATACTTTTCCAGGGCCTAGGTAGGCTCTGGAAAATTATGAGTATTTTAAATTAGTTTATTTCAACTTAAAGACAGCACTGTACATTCACTTCCTTGACATTTTTGAGAACAGCTGTAGTGTGCTTTCTGCCTGGGACCTAATTTCAGGGCTCTCATTAATGGCATCACTGATAGGTGACTCCTTAACAGCAGGAGTTTAACCTCTGTGCTTGATTAGCAGTGCTGCTCAGGCCAGCTTTGAAGACATTATCCTCACAGCCTGGGTATCCTGTATTGGAAAGGGCCTTCTTTGTAACTGGGAGGAGGTTGAGGTGCTGGCTGTTTGCTATACTATTAGAGTCTATACATACAGCCATAGTGCATTGCAGTTAATTTAAGCCAAAGAAATTATATTTTCCTCCCTGTTGCTTGTAGGAGCATGCTGCCAAAATAATCCAGCTGTACCAGGGAAAGCTGTGGTATTCATAATCGTACTTCAGGCACTTGACACATTTGGCAGTTTGTTTACAGTAATTCCCACAATGTTCTAAGTATGTTTCTGGTGTTCTAGAAAGGCTGAATCCTGCTTGAAAAGATGCTGTATCTTCAGGGAGAGAAGAAAACACTTATATTTTTCAGGGTTTGAGTGTCAAGTATTGGTTTGCTGGATTTTTTATAACTTAGTGATAAATTGTCTCAATTCATTCAGGGTGGCATTGAACACCTGGTCACTTATAAAGAAGGTTAAAAGGCCTGGGGAGGATATCCTGCCAATGCCTGATGCAGATGCTCAGATGCAGGGGGACAGATAAGGGAGAGGTGTCTAGTGGTAGGAAGACAGGCTGACTGGAGGCTGGAACTATCTCAACTGGTATGTCCAGAAGAACCAGTCTGGGCTGTTGCAGCCATTCCTAATCATAAGGGCTTTTTTCATGTTGCTTTTGAACACATTCAGATGCTTTTTGAATGGTTTTGAAAGCATTTGAATGCAACTTCTTAACCAAAACCCTAAAAGTTAGTGAGACAGTAAAGAGTCTGTAAGAGAAAAACGTTTTCCTTTTTTACCTTCCTGGCCTTAGCTGTTGTGACACTCTCCTTGTAGCAAAGATGGTTAATGCCATGTGAACTCTTTAAATTTTAAAAAGTTGCCTTTCTAAATATGATGACTGGCAGAATTAAATGCAGGATTTTTAGAGCTGCTCCAGTTCATGTATTGTTTGAATGCAGTTTGTTGTAAAGTTTTGTAGTTCAACAGCACTGACATGTTTACATACATCTGTTTTCTCTTAGTTACAAGGGACCATTCTTCAGTATGTCAAGACCCTAATGGAAGTGATGCCTAAGATCTGTAGGTTACCAAGACATGAGTATGGTTCTCCAGGTTAGTTTGTGTTTGATGTTACCTTAGCAGCCTTAATAAGATTATACTAACCACTATCTTCTGAATATTTTTAAATCTATCTTTCCCTCCCTCCTTTTTTTTCCTGATAATCAGATTTTAGCCTGGCTTTGCATTTTTATCTCTTTTTTTTTTTCCCCATCAAAAGAATATTTGAACGCTATGCTTTCTGAAAGTACTTTATGAAGTTTTAAGACTTCTGTATGTAGGGCAAAAAGGATGACAATCTGTACAGAGACAGCCTTATGACATAATTGATCTTGAGCTGGGATGTCCACAATAGTTTCTGTTTCTTATCTTTCTCATGAGTGTGTTGAGCTTTTGCCTCAGCAAGTTAGCCTCTCACATTTTTTCTGTTCAGACATCTAATTTAGATAACCCAGTTCTCTGAACAGCCTCTATTCTTTTTTCCTTTGCCCTCACCAAATGCAAGATAAAAGGAGTGGTACTGCTGGGAGGTAAACTGGTCCTGCCAGAATAGTTATGTCTCAGGCTTGTGTGGGGTGCATCTTAGCCTCTCAACAGGAGGTGTGACAGTTGCAGAAGAAGAAATGGCATTGAAAGCTGCTTGCCACTATGGAGAAATAATTGGCTAATTAGTATTTATCACATTGTTCACTGAAATTCTGAATCTGCTTTCCCCTTCAAAATATTCCTCCTTCACAACTTCTAATTAACACAAATTAGTCCTTCCATGTGCCACCCACCTCCTGAGTTTATTTTTCCAGAGTCACTTAGTTTTATTAAATGCCACTCCAACTGGAATGAGGTTGGGTTTTTTCTGCTTCCCACAGCTTGCTTGACGTTCATTACCAATGTTAAATGAAATTGAGGTCTTAGTAAGTGTTTCCTTCCTGTTTTTCTCCCTGGAGCATAGAAATGGATGAATCATGGTAGTTAGGAGTATAAAAATAATCTCTCTGAGGCTTTTAGCCATTCATTAAGGTCTGACCGCAAAAGCAGTAGGTATTCTCAAATATAGATAGTGCATCACCAGGATCTGTGATGCTGCAGGTGACATTAGGAAGCTTGCCAGAAATCCTCACCTGTAAGGGCTAAATATTTGGCAGGAGATGCCCAGGGATTTTAGCAGAAACCTTTCTGTAAAGTTTGAAAGACAATCCATGCTATAGGAAAGGCAGAACTTTACTGGTGTAATGGTAACAAACTACTTTGACCTCATGTTTACTCTTCCAAAAGAAATGCCATTTATGTAGATGCCTGCTGTACCAAGAGATCAAAGCAACTCTTGGTTTTACAATGGAATATCATACTTGTTTTGGAGTTGGACTGGATCTCAAAACCCCACCTGATTCTCCGCTCCTTTACTGCCCCTGTTCCAGTCAGGTTTTGTCTTAACACATGTGGTTTTCCTGTTCTGGACTATTTCTAGCAGAGGACACATAATAACCCCCTGGAGAGTCTCTTCCAAGAAATGCAGAGACAGCCTTTATAACACTGTCTCGCCAGCTCTCCCTTTCCTTTCCAAGATCAGGACACCTCCATTGCTCTCTCACATCAGGAAAAACTGTCCCTGCTCTCTGACACCTCCCCATCATGGAGCTGTCTGCCCTTGGAATAGACTGGCTGAGAAAGGAAAATGTTCTCTGTGATGAGGATGTGCTGCAGATTTCACCCTTCATCGGGAGAGGAACTGCCAGGCAGTAGAAGGGCAGGCTCAGAGCATGCTTCCTTTGAGTCACTGTCCTCTCCTTTCTGTGCTAAATTCTCCTCTTCAGCAGTCTTTTCCATACCTTGTTTATGTGTTTTGTCACAGAAGATGCAAGCCACACATCAACTGTTGTCTGTTCCCTCTTCTGCCTCCAAAATCTTCCTCAGAAGTTGTTAGTTGTAGTAGTAAGCCTGAGTGCTGTGGGATATGTCTGTGTGCTGCTTCTGTTCTTTCATAACAAATCATTTTATAACATCTTTATAACTGGCACAACCTACATATACAGACCAAAACTGTGATTCCAGTCTTTAGATGAAGTATACAGATTCTCATCTATCTTGCTGTAACATGCACTTATTAATTCAGAATTAATTTCCTGAGTCCATTCTCCACATGCAAAGTGGTTTAAGCACACTCAGTAAGTAAGCCTCTAGCTCGTTCATGCACTTCAGACTTTTCAATTGGAGAGTTTTGTTTGCACTCTGCTGATTGCAATTCCTTGGCCCCTTCATAATCAGCCTTTTAGACTTGTGGATTTCTAAATGGTGATTTATTGTTGCTAAAAGGAGCAGGGTACAGACAGTGGCATCAGAGTTGTTCAGGACTCCTCTTTGCCAATGGGTTTGTTTCCATAGGAACAGTCTAAAGCAGTGGGGAACTTGTTCATCTTGTAGTCATAAAAATATTTGTCTAAAAATACATTAAGCATAAGGATTTTTAAAGGGACCTTTTAAAGTTGCTAAAGCTCTTAAAGGAATATTTGCCTTGTAAGAGTTTAAGCTTGAAATTTCATCTTGGAGGTAGCGTTTTCTTCTGCTATTTTTTGAGTATTTGAACATGTCATTTCTGCTTTTAATGAATTAGTATCCTGCCCCTCTGAAGCGTCATTGAATACCATGAAGAAAAGTAGTTTGTCAGTTCTACTATGAGATGAGGCTTTTGTCACTGGTATTGTCATCCCTCCAAGATAAACTTTTAAAAAAATGAATTACCTTAGCAAGATACAAACTTCATGAGAAAGGAGCCAAATTGTGTATTTTTTCCTAAGTGAAAACATTTCCATGTTTCTTCTTTAAAAGAAAAACATAACAAAATCAAACCAAAGAAACAGAACACTCAAAGCTGGTGCAGGACAAAGCACTTGTTATCCCAGGCCATGACCTCTTGAAATCCCATAAGTTGGCAAGGCAGTTTGGGGAATCCCTCCAAAGCCCTGTGCCACGGGCTGCTGTGTTCCCATCTCTCCCTGGGCTGATTGTGGTGCTGGCAACACTCTGGGGGCTGTTTCTGCACAGCAGTCTGGCAAAAAAGAGTCTTCCACCCCTTCTTTTTCTGGACTATCTCAGGTCAGAGTCTAAGAGGAGCTGGAACAAGCCTGGGCTGGGATGGGGAAGGGCAGCAGTAGCTAGCTGGAGGCTTCCAGAGTAGCATCACTTGGGGCATAGCAGAAGGGTTTGTAATTCCACATGTTATCCCTGGTTTTTGATCAAACTAAGATAAGGAGGAGAATAATTCAAGTGAGGGCACAATGGCTTAAGTCCGCATTGGATGAAGGAAATGTATTCATAAATCTTCCTGATTTGGAAGGAAGGAAGAATTGGGAAGGCATCACAGACTATTTGAAAGAATTTATGGGAAGCCCAGACTGCGTTGATGACTTTAACAGGGCATTTAGAATTCATTAGATACACAGAAAAGTGGAATATTTCTTTCTAGCAAAATAAACACAGCACACAGGCTCTATGGTCATAATTCCTGGATATATGTATATGCTTAAACCTGATTTATATTTCCATTGAAGGGAATGAATGGCAGCACTGTTGATATGCAGAGTTAATGATGCCTCTGGTGAGCCAGAGAAGTATTTGGATGCAGCATTTGAAGGTCTCGATGAAAAAGAACATAAACTAAAGGTCATAGCACCCAGTTTCTTGGGAGCAGCTTTGCTATTGCAGATTAGTAGTATGAAAAAGAACATAAACTAAAGGTCATTATAGCACCCAGTTTCTTGGGAGCAGCTTTGCTATTGCAGATTAGTAGATTTTATTTGATAATAGTCAAGTCAGTTCTTTACAAAAAATAACCCAAAACACAACTAGACCAAGAATTATAATCAAGATCCAGTTTGTTAGTAGTCAAAAATTCAGTTCTAGAATTAATAGCTCATTTTTGTCCTAATCTTTTAGGTACCAGAATTGTTACAAGCTCTGGAACATGTTTAATTTCAGTCTGTAGGTGTGAATTGAGAAATGAAAGGTGACCAAAGTAAAGGAATCCATTCAGCTTTGAGTTGCATGTTTTGATTTGCTCTGACTTCCTAAATTAATCAGTGTACAGAGTGCACAGCTGAAACTTGGCATCTGCTATTTGAGTGCTGTTGAGATAGGATTTTGGAAGGACAGAGGGAGCCTAATCCTTTACTAATCTTCTGTACTTTACTGGGTCTATTCTATATCAACAGTCTTTGCTTCTGTTGAGATCTGTGTAAATCAGAAACTGGGATTGTATAATCAATTATTATGACACCTAATGTGTATTTTACTGGGTCTATTCTATATCAATAGTCTTTGCTTCTGTTGAGATCTGTGTAAGTCAGAAACTGGGATTGTATAATCAATTATTATGACACCTAATGTTGTCGTCCCATCTGCAGGAATAGAGGGATTTAATTAAAACTGCTTTCTTGGAGAGGAGGAGCAAAAAACCTTGATTCATTTACCTTGCAAAGTTCTGTGTATGTATAACTAATTCAGTAACTTATGAATTCCACCCACAAACAGAATTAGAGGAAGAAGGAAGGTTGCAGGCAATTAAGTGAAATTAATTTTCCTAAGACACTTGTGTTTTTTCCAGGGCTTTAGTAGGCATGCATAGTCTTTCATAAAAATACACTTCTGTGTAATGTGCACAGAAGTGTAATTTGGAATGGCATTGCTCAGACATTAATGAAAACATGAGGATGTATTTCTGCCACAGGACTCCACTGGGGAGCAGATTGGTCTTTCATCAGAAATAGCCTGTGTAGCTCTGTAAACTTTCTTCTGTTTTGCTGGTAAATCAAGCTCTTGATCTAAAGGGAAGAAGTACACTAATGATGGCAGCATTTGGAACACCTGCATGCTAAATACTGGCTGTCAGATTTTCAAAATAATACGACAGTTTGTTCATGAATGCGTGTGGGTGTACATATTTATATATCTGTATATGGAGACTGGGCTTTGAGTGAAGAAATAAGGAGCTTTGTTAAGGACTTGGAGAGGAGCTCTGTCACCTGGATTGACTGTAAAAGACAGTAAGTAATTTTTATGGTATGAACCTCAAGCCTCTTTGACTTTTACTGTCCTGCTGCTTTTGGGTGCACTTAAATGTCTCATTTTGGTTTCAGTCAAACTTTCAGGATGAGTCTGTTTGTGGTCACAGTTCTTTGTGCTGCTCGTGGTTTCTCTCTGTGCCATTCTGCTCCTTTATATTTGCTTCAGGGGACATGGGTTATTCCCAGGATTTCACTGCCCATGAAAAAATATTTCTCATCTTTCAGATGAGATGTCAGCCTTTTTTCCTGAAACTCCCCACAAAATCCACAGGTTGGGAAGGGGATTGAATGGAGTCTGAAAATCCTATTCTTTTTGATCCCTGTCATGACCAGTGGTTGTTTCCATGCTGCAGCAGCAGAATCTTCCTTGCTGTTCTGCTCACCTTATGTTTCTCACCAAGCTGCTCCTCACCCCCCACACAAGCTAAAGGGAAGAGCGTGTCCACGGCCACGCATGTCACCAATATCCTGTTTGCTTGGACAGTGCTTTCTCTCCATGGTCACCCTGTGGAGAAGTCCACAGTTCCTCATGGTGTTTCAGGGAGTCTTACAGGCCGTGTGTTGGTTCACCATCAATCTCTGTGTATGTAGCACAGATCATAAGACCAGAAACATTGGTACATGTTTTAGTTTGATTTCCTTTATGGCATAGACTTAGGTCGAGGCTAACACTTCTTTTTGCAGAAAGTCTTGGAATGAGGAGAGTATTTGGCTTCTTGCAGTTCATCCTTTCTTTCTAGATGTGGAAATCCAACAAACACAAAACAAAGACTAGGGTGTGAAACTAAAACACTGTAGGTTTGTGATAAATCTGATTTCAGTTCCCTAACTTTGCATTTTCTTCCTAGCATCAAAAGATTTTGGGGAAAAATTTTCAACCTTTTCAGTCTGATCTTTAAAATGCGAGTCCCAGTATTCAGCACTGCAGAATCCCATTGCCATGGGGGGCAGGTGTGTTTAAATGACAAACACAAGTGTTCACTGCTCCTCACACACCTGGGGATTGTGACTGGCTGGTATCCTGCCGTGTTCAGTGAGCACTGCCAGCCTTTCCCACAGCTTTTCCATTCCACAGTCCCTGCATTGTGGGGAGGTGGGAATTGGTGATGTGCTGGCATTGTTTGCTTTTTAGCTAGTTGTAAATGTGTTACCTTGGAATAAATTAAGCTCAGCAAGCACACGCTAGATCTGACCTTTCTCCATCAGTTTTTCAGTTCTGTTTTTCTTTGAAGTCACCAAAGTACTCAAGTTAGGTCTGAAATTCACCTGCAGTGAATTTCATGTGGGAACACTCATTTGCTGTTAATTTTCTATCGACAAACAATTCTTTGAGATGTAACAGAGCCAGCCTGCATCCCCTCATCATGCACTTTACAGATGTTTTGTGTTACTAATTTTAATTATATGAGGCTTTCTGTAGAAGTGTGTGGGTTACCTACATAATTCTTTCCTTCACTGTATGTTTTCAAGTTCCTTTGTGTCAAGTTTTGAGTGGGTCTTGGGCCTTCAAAGAGACAAGAGCAGTTGGTTGCTGTAAAGTTTTTTATTGCATGAATGCATCAGTCTCAAAGGCAAAGAGTTCAGAGTATTAAAATCTGTGCTAAAAGCTTTCAGGAATAGTCCCAATGTCCCAAGCAGCAGCAGCTCCCACACCTTTTTTTTTTCTTCCTCTTTTTCATCCCAGAACAGTGGGATTTTATTAATAAATCATCCAATCAGCTAAAAACATGATTCTAAAACATTCTTCCTGCACCTGAGCTTGATTCTAAAGTAGTGTTGGTTCTTACACAAAATCTACGCATATAATTCTGTCTGTTCTATCTAGAAATGCAAGCAATGTTCTGCTGTGTTTTCATTATGTCTAGAGCTAAGTTAATTTTGTGAAAGGTAACACTACTGAACTTTAAACTAGGCTTTAGGGCTTTTTACTAGCTAATACAGTTTCTTAAGGCACTTAAGATATATTTCTGTTTACTTAAAACTTACGCTCTTACTTCATGTCTGTGGTTTAATATATTTCAGTTTCTCTAAAGGTTCCAGTTCAATCCCTGAATTCCTTTATCTCTCTGAGGGACTCTCTGAGAGGCTTCTATTTCATGCATTCCAACACCTCTGAATTTGAGGAATTTCCTTGGAAGAGATATGCTGCAGGCTGGATTTCATGTTTCATGTTTATGTGCTGTCTTCAGCCATTGCCTCACTGGATAGATAGCCAAGTATGATCTCCTGCATGAGAAGTGTTCATCAGTTGTGTCAATGGAACTCATGGGAAGGTGCTGAAGGGTGTCTGCATTCTCTTTCCTTGTCTTCTCTCAATTGCTTCAGATGTAGTTGGGTGGGGATTTATCTGGCTTGATTCAGTGTAATGGAAATTAATTGCTGTGTGCAGCATGCAATTTAAAAGCTTCTTATGATGCATTTTCTTCTCAGTCAAGTGTTTTGGTGGCTTTTTAGAAGGGACAGGCTTGTGCAGAAAGATGGAGAAATGCTGCGAAGAATTAACTTGTAAAAAGCTGAAGAGCTGTCTGACCTACTGTAGTTCCTACTGCTCTTCCTCTCCCATCCTGCACATGGCCTGAACCTCTGACAGATAACCAGACTGGGTCTCTGCAGAGGCTGCTGAGCCTGTGGTTTCCTGAGCTTCTCTCTAACCAAGGGACTGTGCAGCCTTTCTGGGGCTAGAGGGCAAGGACTGGAAGTCCACCAGCATGTTACACATCACTGTTGCTCAGGAGAAGTTTGATGGAAGAGACACATGTTTATGTAAACTATGTGGGTTTGAAAATCATAATTTTAGCTGGTTTTTTTTAACAGCTTTTGCAAAACTTTGTCAGAAACTGTGTTCTGGTTGTACCTGTCAGCAGGATCTGGTGTACCCTTGCCTGCAGAGCTTGACTTGTGATCTCTGTATTTGCTTTGAGAGGTCCCAGATCACCTCTGGCCCCATGGCACTGTCAGTTATAGCCTGACACTACCCATCCTCCCTGTGTCTGAGCTCTCTGCTCCTTGCTGCCTCTGTCATCCATGAAAATAGCAGCTGTGAATTGAGTGTGCCAGTGGTGCAGCAGGATGGGGAACGGTGGCTGGAACAGGGCTTAAAGCAGATGAGAGCTCTAGTCTCTCTTTCTGCTCCTGGGTATTTTTTTCTTACCTCTTATACGGCTCCCTTTTCCAGGAGTGAAAAGTTAGGCACTCCACTTTGCATGATTTATCCAGTTAAAAAGGTCAGTGCACTGGCTTAACACTTCATAATCTCTGAGTTTTAGTGCATTTAAGTGCTGCTCCTTTCAGTTTCCTCTAGGCTGCACGTCTGGAGATAAAATCTCGTGTGCTGATACATGGAGAGGGAAGTCTAAACCTTCACCCTCGGTTATTTGCATCAAACAGTGTGTGGAGGCACATTTCTGCTACTTTTGAATAGACAAATTGGTTAGAAAAGGGCTTTTGAAGCAGAAATTGAAATGAATCCTGATCTCTGACTCTTATTCACATGGCCAGCATCTGTTGTCTGCTTTCCTGAGGTAACAGTGTGCCTGTGTGGTCATCACTAGATTCGTTCTGGCTTCTGAGACTTTTTTTTCTCTTCTCTTCTCTTCTCTTCTGATTTCTCTCTTCCTGGAGTTTTTTCACCATCAGTTGAAGGACATTGTTGAATATGCAGAACTGAAGACTGTCTGCTTCCAGAATTTACGGGAAGTGGGAAATGCTGTCCTGTTTTGCCTCCTCATTGAACAGAGTCTGGTAGGTGCCTGCTGTGCTAGTTTAAAATCCATCTGTCTCTCAAAATGTACTCTCATATTTTTGTTACTAACGTCATCAATAACAAGGTTGAAATCTGTGAGTTTGCTGTTACTGATGGGCAGATGGGTAGGAACAGTTCCCTGCACTCCTCTCTCACAGTCTTGCAGGGCTTTTCATGTCTGTTAGATACAGTGATGCCTGACTTTGCTGGGTGAGAGACGTTGCCTCGTGCGTGGTACCTGAGGATCTGACATTGCAATCTTCACCATAAATTATAATCACATATGGCACTCCTGCAGACAGTCACAGTGTGGCCACTCTTTATGTCAGCAAGCTGTGCATCTGGTACTGCTGTATTCCTTTCCTGCAGGTCATTCCTGTTGAGGTCTGAAACATCCTTGGATGTCCTCCTTGCTGCTTGGATGGCTGACAGTGGTGCAGAAGTTCACGCAGTGTTAGCAAGCTGTGCATCTGGTACTGCTGTTTTCCTTTCCTGCATGTCATTCCTGTTGAGGTCTGAAACATCACAAGGTTAACGTGGACATTCTTGGATGTCCTCCTTGCTGCTTGGATGGCTGACAGTGGTGCAGAAGTTCACGCATCTGTCCTAGCTTGAACAAAACTGTGAAAAGTTTCAGTCTTTGAGCTGCTTAAATCTGTCCTAGCTTGAACAAAACTGTGTGTAAACCTGCCCACAGCTGATGGCACAGTGCTACAATTGATCTTTATCCCTGCCTCCAGTTTTCTTTTCCCACCCTTCTCCCATGTTATTAGTATTTGCTGTTCAAACAAGATGCCCATACCTGTAATTTCTTTGTTTTCAATGCTTTTGGGTGCTTACAGAGGAAAGGTGGGCATTGATAATGGATCAGAACAGCAGCAGGTGTGCTGGCTTCCCTTTCTTTACCTGCATGGTGTTGTTGAATGTTGGGTGGGGGGTCTCTTCCTGCTGTGCATACAGGCACCCTGCCCAGGCTGTGCAATCTCATAGTGCTGCTGAGGTTGGGCAGCATGCAGAGATCTTTGCTGACTGCAAACCAGCCACGTCATTTCCTCAGCAAGCTGGCTGGGGGCCTGCTGTTGGACAAAAATAAACCCTCATGGAAGGCTTCTCTAGGGTGTATTAAAGCTGTCAGTGTTAGATAAGGTAACGAAGACATGCTGTTCCTCAGGGTTCCTGCTTGATGGTGTTAGAGGATCCCTCCCTCACGGTGGAGAGGAACTGTAGGGTGGGGGGACACACAGCAAACCTGTAGTCAATAATGGCACAGCTGAAACAGAATGAGAAGCTGGATTGCTTTGGATTCAGGCTGAGTGGCTGTGTGGTGAAAAGCCAGGCAGGGCCATCACTCCCTCCTGGGAGGACTGAGGCAGTACCAGAGTGACACCAGCACGGAGGTGCCTGCTTTGGGGCACCGCCGAGGTTACCCTTTCCAGTCACACACCCGTGCTCACTGCCTCGCCTCTTGTTTTTGTCCTCAGTTAGGTCCCCATGGCCTGTCATGTATTTCGGTATTTTTCCTCTATGGTCATCCCTCATAACCAATCTAGATTTTAGGACAGTGCAAAATGTAATTCTGAGTATATCCTTGGTAGTGGGTCTCTTGCATTTCCTGGTTGACATCAAGGAATTAGAAAAGGAACTGGAAAAGGCACATGAGCCCCCCAGCACCCTAGCCTTGCTAAGAGTATGGATGACACTAACTTTTCTGATGTTAGTGTTGAGGGATTACAAATTAGTAGGGTCTCTGCTTCAAAACTGAGGAGAGGTCGTAGCAAAGTCATGCATCTGCTTCTGGTCATCTGCATTTTCTCTGTGTGTACAAAGGAGCAAAGAAACAGGAGACATCTGTCTTCCTTTCCCCTGTCCCTAAAGATGTAAAATACTTCCTAAGACATCGTTCTCTGCTGTTGTCATACGTCTCAGCCTGCCTGGCGGGGAGAGGCTCCCACCACGATAAGCTCCCATTAGGATAATGGGTTGTGGCTCTGGTAAAAATAACCAAGCAGTGAGTCATGCTCTTCCCCCTTTTGTCTGCGCGGGAGCTGTCTGCCACTTTCCCACCGAAATTACTCATCCTCCATTAGTTTATTTAATAAATACCCTGTCCTTTATGAACTGCCAGCTGAGGGTGGGAGGGGAGTTGCTGGAGTTCCTTTGGGAGTGCAGAGGAGCTGGTGAAATGGTCTTTGGGAGCGATCCGTGGGGAGAGGCAGGGCTCGGAACGGCTCCTGCCTGGCGACAGAGGCCGGCCGCCCTCTGGTGTTCCTGCAGCGGCATCGGCCTGCGGTGTTCCTGCAGCCGTGGGGTCTGCTGTGCTTTGGGATTGATGCTTCTGTCCTAAATGCCTCTCGTTTTCTTTTTGTCCCAGTCTCTGGAGGAGGTGTGTGACCTGCTGCACGCAGCGCCATTCCAAAACATCCTGCCCAGGGTTCACGTCAAAGGTATCGGCAAAGTGAAAATACCTTCCTTGGGTAGTGCTTTCCCCTTTCCCTTCCTGCTGCTGTGCCTTCAGCAACCACCTCCAGCCACCCTTTACCACAGGACAGAGGTATCAGATCCAGGCCTGTTTGCCTGGCTGAAAAAACAAATGTTTCCTGGCAATGCTCTGTGCAAATTACAGCCATGACAGGGAACACAGGATGGATGCCCAGGGCAGTATTATCCTGCTTTGTGGATATAGTGAGAGGCTTTTTTGAAGCTTCTCTTTAGCTTATAGAATTGTCAGTTAAATGGTGCAGGGTGTCCGTCAGCAAGTAAGTAAATAAAGGTGATCCCTGTAGATTTTTCACTTCCTTTTCACTAAAGAGAGTATGCAGTAGTGAATATTTGCAGGATTGCTTCCTATGGTATCTGCTCTCCTCATCATCAGAAAGTGAGCTGTCTCCCTTCCCCTTTGCCCTCTCTTCTTTCTGTGTTTCTCTTCTGTCTTCTTTCTTTTCCATTTCTCACTGCTGGAGCTAGCTGATTTGTTCTGCTTGGAGAAATCCCATCAGCTACAAAGCTAAGAGAATATTTCTGAGCTCACAGTAGCTGCTTGCATCTCTGCATAAAACTAACCAGATCATTGTAAATTGTATTTTCCCATTTGCCAGAGAACCTTTCCTACTTGCCAGTGTTCAGGAAGTTCCAGCTGCTTTTTAGCTTTGCTATACACAAGATTGTATCCACATTTTACCTCACGTTCTAGAGACAAACATTTTGTGCATAAAGACAACTTAGTTGTCTTAGTACAAGTAGGGGTCAAAT